TACCTGTAGTATGAAAAATGCTATCATGTGATAATATATTGCACATTTTCTCGACTAGATTTGACGATTTAGATACATTCTCTGTTAAAATAAAAAACCACAAATATTGAACGATGATACAAAGCATTAATGAAAATGTAGCAGTTATCAGTGTAAATTATGATTTAATATCATGAACATTTTCTCATTTCTTTTTCCAAGGATGAGAGATGTTATTCTTTGCATTAAGAACCCAAAATTAATTTTGATCGATTGAAAATTTTGCAAAAATCTAACCTGAAAACTTTCAAAAATGAAAGAACAATTAATTAAGACGTAAATATTAATGTTCATTATGGTTTAATGCAGTAAAATTGATTCATGGTTGAATGTTTGATAAGGAGAAAGCCAGTAACTGTTTAGATTCACCCGTTCAATGTTTTTCATACCCCCACTTGAAAAGTGGGAGGGTATATAGTAATAGGTAATTCTGTACGTCCGTCCGTCCGTCTGATGGGGTACCCATCTCTTATCCGCAACTCCTCTCATACCACTAAAGGAAATTTAATGAAACTTTCACAGATTCTTAATTACATATTGCCATTGTACACCTCCTGTTTTAATTTTTGATCTGACGTATATTTTTGATTTTCCAGAGCAAAACATGGACACTGCCATTATATTCATATGGGAGGCGGGGAGTATCATTTAGTGAGCTCATTGCTCACAGTACCTCTAGTTACACTATCTATAATTCTTATCTACTGTTTACCTCTTAAACACGATTTACACTACATTATTATTAAACCCCCCGCTTGAAAAGTGGGTAGGTATACTATAGTCGGTATGTCCGTCCGTCCGTCTGTTACGCTTTGGGGTACCCATCTCTTATCCGCAACTCCTCTCATACCACTGAGTGGAATTTAATGAAACTTTCACAGAATCTTTATTACATATTGCCATTGTGCACCTCCTATTTTACTTTTTGATCCGACACATATTTTTGGTTTCCCGCCACAGCAAAACATACACTTTGCCATTATATTAACCATATGGGAGGCGGGGGTATCATTTAGTGAGCTCATTGCTCACAATACCTCTAGTTCTAGATAGTTTAAAATTCATACTAAAAAATAACTTTATGAACTTAGATGGAACAACCTACAGACAAAAACGTGGAACAGCAATGGGAACCAAAATTCCCCGACATATGCCACACTTACGCTGTGATATCTTGAGGGAAAAGCATACAAAACCGTGGAAGAATATTTTGGAGTTGAATGTAAAACTTTTATTCATTATACCCCCCGCTTAAAAAGCGGGAGGGTATATAGTAATCGTTAATTCCGTCCGTCCGTCCGTCCGTCCGTCTGTTACGCTTTGGGTACCCATCTCTTATCCGCAACTCCTCTCATACCACTGAATGGAATTTGATGAAACTTTCACTGAATCTTTATTACATATTGCCATTGTGCACCTCCTATTTTACTTTTTGATCCGACACATATTTTGGGTTTCCCGGTCACAGCAAAACATGGACTTTGCCATTATAAATATATGGAGGCGGGGGGTATCATTTAGTGAGCTCATCGCTTACAATTCCTCTAGTTTTATTAAAAATTCCCGGAAGAGATATTTGGATGATTGTTGTTTTATAATCTGAATTACAAACTTTCTATAACACCTCAAACAACATGAACCCCAACTTAAAATTTATAATGGAAAAGTGATGAAAATAAGTAACCAATTTTAGATGTAATGGTCACTTAAAAGTGGGAAAATCGTAACTGATGTACTTTACAAGGCCACGGACACAAAACAATACCTTTTCTACGATTTCTGTCATCCAAAACACAGATCAAGAACAATATTCCATATGATTTAGCCAGACGACTCTGTACCATAATATCGGACAAGGGTCTTTTAAATTTCAGACTTAATGAGTTAAGGGAGTTATTACAATAAAGGCATTATCCTAACTTACTGATTGAAAAAGGAATAGACAACGCCAAACTACAAGATGGAAACAGCCTACTTCAAAGTGTTCAAAACTACCGGGATTCATATGTCCTAGCTACTTCTACAATATTGACTCAAAGGCAGATGAACATCATTTTTGCTATCAAATTCCTATTCAATCTTAAAATCAGTCATTTTTGGAAGCAGTGTATTTTATTCAATGATGGGAAAAGATGTATAAATGAATATAACGTGTTTTTGCCCCTGAATTTAGGGGAGGGGGAATTTCTTCCTTATTCTCTTCTAAAAATTTTTATAATAAATTTTTATAAAACATTTAACCAGACAATGTTTTCATCTTATAAAGTTTAAATTTTTCCTCAACAAATTGGACTGTTATCTTTATTTTAGATTTACAGATATAATATATTTATTTGGTCAAGGTAATAACTGCCACAGATAACAGGTGTATATTATGATATATAAATTTCTATGTTGTATGTCACAGTGTTCAGGACATTACTCGTTGATCAGCTACATATAGATGAGTCACTCACTATAATCATGGACAACGTATATTTAAAAATTTCCTTATGTTTTTGATAACTCAACAAAATAAAAACAAGAGATCCAGGGGCCACATCGCTCCCCTGAGCACTTCTGCTATGAAAAAGCAAAAAATCAGTTCAGTATTGAAATGTTTGAAGCTTCGGGGATGGAGGAAAAACAAACTTAAATCTAGACTTCATGCCTTTTATATATTTATGACTAAACATGGCTTTGTTGTTCTTGTGAAGAATTATTAAAGATTCCTATGTCTTCATCGTACAACTTTAATAATCCATTATATATAATAACTTCATCTGTAAAATCTTGACCTTTATGGAGAAACCTTGCCCCAGGGGTTATGATTTGAACAATTTGAATCCATACTACCTGAGGATGCTTCCATATAACTGCTCATGATTCTGCTGTTCATCAGAAGATTTTTAAAGACTTGAACCAATATTGAGGCCAAACTCTACCCCGGGTTCACGATATAAACAAATCTGAATCTATACTACCAGAGGATGCTTCCACATATGACCAATCATGAATTTGCTGTTTTTTAAAGAATATTTTAAAAGATTTCCCCTATCTTTTCTTATGTAAAACTTTAATCCCCACTGTGGTCCCATTCTACAATCCGGGGATCATAATTTGAAACAAGCGGCCCACGTGCTTTTAAGTCACCTGAGTATCATGTAACAACTTTCCAACAAATGATTTTGAAATGAAATTCACAATTTTGAATTAGGCACCATTGCTCATTATAACTATACACTTGACATGCTTACTTTGATTACTTAATACCCAGAGACAGAGCAAAGGAACAAAGAAAATAATTATACATTTCCACTATATAAGCTGTAATGCCCCATCCCATAGGAACCCTTGACCCTGGGGCCACACATTTCACATTTTTTGAAAAGGCACTCTTGCTCATCACAGATGTTTGAGTCATACCTAAAAGGCTGATATCAAAGGATTAATTCATTTTCAGTATATGAACATTAGATCATTAGATTCTTTCACCCATCCATCCCCATGAACCTCCGCCAAAGAGCCTTGAAATTATCAAATCTGGAAGAAGCACTATGAAGCTTGCTTGTCATAACTTTTTACTCAGATCATCAGCATAATACCCAGTAACAAAAGAAATTTTGAAGAATAAATGCATTTTTACAATTAGTATATACTCATTATAGCCCCACGCTAAAACCAGAACCGGGCCATGAAATTCACAATTTTGATAGCCTTCCTTATCATAACTATGCATATAGTTTGTTTTGCATGATCGTTAGAACCCCGTCCTAACACCAGAACTAATGACCCTGGGGCCATGAATTTCAGAATATTAGGTAGAGGGTTCAATGCTAATTACAATCATGCCACCAGTTTGACTGCTTGATGTCCAGGAGTAAAGAAGAAGTTTTTAAAAGATTGCATTAATTTAAGTGGTGTTTGCTCCCAACTCTCAGGCCCCAGGGGGATATGGCCCATGAAATTCAAAAATTTTACTCCCCTTCACCTTTAGATACTTAACGTCTAAATTAGTTGATATTAGTTCTGTGGTTTCAGAGAAGCTGAAAATGTTTAAATGTTAACACCCGACGACGGACGAAAATAGATAGATAAAAACTTGAATCTAGACTACATGAGGAATTGCTGCCATATGTGTTTCATTTTTATCTGGCCCAGTGGTTCTTGAGAAGATTTTTTAAAGTTGCTGTAAATGTTTCACTAATTCATTATATCTCCCTTGGAAAAGGGCGTGACCCTTCATGTGAACAAACTTGGATCCCCTTCACATGAGGATACTATATGCAAGTTTGGTTGAAATTGGCCCAGTGGTTCTTGAGAAGAAGATGAATCTGGGGAAAAATTATGACGACAACAACGACGACGAAAGGCAACGGACAAAGTTTTATCAGAAAAGCTCACTTACAAGAGCCTTCAGCTAATAAACATACGCTGGACTCTCTTTCTCTCTCTCTCTCTCTCTCCGTTATTTTTTGCTTGTCAAAACCGAAAAGTGAAAATGTTTGGTTATATACCCAATCTTCTTTGTTAGATACAAGTCCCACACAATAAGAGACTGGGTATTCTGTATTGTCTCAAGTATGCAAATTGTCTCAAAAATATTAAAGAAAATAGTAGTACTCCTACTACCGAAGTCTTATTTTCTTTATGAACTATTCGCCCGCAACACTAAATTATAACTAAAACGTTCGACTCAGAACACAATATCTTCCTTTTATCCAGTCAACAAATACACGTATGTTGAAATTTTCTGATAAATTTTTTTTTACTTACATTGTATCTATCGACCCAATATTTGAGTCGTGAGAGGACAAACAAAGTTTGTTTCGATAAAAATAACAGATAACAAATTTAATTTGAAATATATATCTACGCTTTAATGTAGTCTAGTTACCTTATTATTTTAACAGTTACAGAAACCTTTGTCGTGCTCGTAGTGATTTTTAGGGAGTTTAAATCATATATAATATATTCATTTTACAGAGGGATTTATTAATTTACATGTACGTGATGTCATGATTTAAAGATTATGTTCTGATTTGAAATCGTTCTTCTGCTCAAATTATTACACTAGTTGATTGTGTGGGTTATATTTATGCCAAAAGTGGATGACGCGATACATGTATACCGTAAGTCTACACATTTTTAAAACAAATATCTTTTTTTAAATCAAAATATTACATGTAACTGTTTGTGTATCAAAGTTGGAAAAATTATTAAAGTTAAAATCGTCATTTTCTCTAGTTGGAAGTTTTTCCTGTGTCAGACTATTTTGAAAATAATTTATTAAACGCAAAACTTATACTACAGCCTATAATTCATCTTATTAAGAAACCGGAATAACTAGGAGACAATTAGAGGTCTTTCCACCTACTTTGAATTTCAATTTCAAATGATAATTATCTCTTTAAAATTTTAAATTCATGAAAAAAAGAAGAAATGGCTTAAAAGATAGATAAAAATGAAAATTTGAAAACTTTAAACTTGACCTTTTGACCTTGGTGAAATAATCAAGATTAAAGGTCAAGAGTCACGTTGCAATTTAATCCATGCCTCTAGGACTTACTTTTAAAGTTTTATGGGTAAATTGTAAGTTCAGACAGGGCAATAAGGGCAATAAGGGCAATAATTCATATAAGGGGTCATCGGATCCTTTCGCACTGAATACTCCAGTAGATTGGAGCTTTGCCTTAAGACCCTGAAGACATTAGTGACGGTCAATGAATCTTATGCAGTTGGTGCGTTTTGTAAATTTTTAATTATTTGTAAAATTCAAAAACTTTCAGGGGCAACAACTCATTGAAGGGGCTTACGAATCTTTTCACAATGTTAGATTGAATAGTCTTCTTAATTAGTCGAAGACATTGGTAAAGGTTTTGGAGGAGTAGCGATGACAAGCTTTATGGTAAAAGGGGCAATAACTGCATGAAGGGTAAAAGTTCAAACATAGGGGGTCGTTTTTTGGAATAACGTTAAAATCCAGTATCAGAACTATTAAGTTTTTCAACTAGGAGACTAATGATTATTGTTTTCGAACAATTAAACGTCTTTCTACCTTCTTTGAATTTCAATTGATATTTATCTCTTTAAAATTAAATTTCATTTTAAAAAAAACAGAAATGGCTCAAAAGATAACAATGAAAATTTTAAAATGACCTTGACCTTTAACATTGAGAAAATTTTTATGGTCAAAGGTCAAGGGTCATATTGCAATAACCCCATTCCTTTTCGACGTATAGTTTTAATATATTAAGCTTTACATGTAATGGTAAGCGCAAAGACGTTAAAGGACGATAATTCATACATGTATAAGGGGTCATCAGATCCTTTCGCACGAAATAATTTGAAATTGTATCTAAATACCCTAAAGACAGAAGCGAAGGTTTCATGTCTCAAAAGGATGCTTCCACGTGCACTAAAGTTTCAGCTCTTCAGACCAAGGTGTTCTTGAAAAGAAGAAATTTTCTAAAATTTGGATTCCTTATTGTGACCCGCCCGATCCCTGGGGGTCATGATATTTCAACTTTGGTGGCCTAAGGTTCTTGAAGAAAAATCTTTTTAAAGATTTTCCCTAAATATTTTACAATAAAACATGATTCCGTATTGTGGCAATGATCTACCCCTACGGGTCATGATTTAAACAATTTAGAATCAACACTACCCAAGAATGCTTTCATATAAGATTCAGCTTTTCCAGCTTAGTGGTTCTTGAGAAGTTTTTCAATAAAGATTTTTCATATATATTTCAATATAAAATTAAGACTTCTTATTGTGGCTCCGTCCAACTCCCGAGGATAATGATTTGAACAATTCAGACTCCGGAATGCTTCCACATCAAGTTCAAGTTTTTCTTGCCAAGTGGTGCTTGGGAAGGCTGGATTTTTTTTTAAATGGCCCCAACCGATTATGGTCTTTTGTTGCTTATCTCACCTTGGACCCTTCGTTTTAACAAATTAAGTCCCCCTTTACCCAAAGATGCCCTGTATCACGTTTTTTAAAAAAGAAGTTCAAAAATGCTAAAGGTTTACAGGCGGAGAGATAGATGGATGAAAAGAAGGACGACGGGTGATTAGAAAAGCTCAATACGGCTACAAATTTTTAATTTGTATATATTAAAATTATTGTAAAAAAAAAAACAAAGATTAATACAAAACTGGACAAAACAGTTGATACAAAGAAGTAGAAATTAATGTATTTTGCAATTGTATATCATATCAAATCGCTAATTAAAAACAACTGGATAAATGGTTTAACTGAAGTCATTTGTTTCACATCAGAAATGGATTCAGAAGGAGTTACACAAAGACCACACTTCCATAGAAGTCTAACATTAAATTTTGATGGAGACAGGACAAAGAATGCAGAAAAATTTTGTCATCAACTTATACGTAGATCTGCCGATGAAATATACATGAACGATTTAAGGTAAATTTCGTGATATTTATCCTTTTCACTTAGATAGTGTTCATTCAACTATGTAAAGACCACTTAAAATTCTCTTCTATTAATGATTTTGTCTCAGCAAAAACAAACAAAAAATTGCAATCTACAAATTAGCTATTCGGTTATTTAAGTAAAAAATTAGCTGAAAATGTGCAAGCTTTTGTGTTTCGATTTTTTTATTAATTCAGCATATGATGCATCAGTATGTCTAAATAATTACTAAAAACAAGATTTATTTTAGTTATTTAACTGTTCTTTCCTCGACATAGAAAACAAATGAAGAAGTATTTGGTTTCATTTGAATATGGACCAGCAGATTTGGATGAAATTAATCATATCTACCGCCGTTTACACAATATATCTTCAAAGTTACCCAAGTATGTCAAAGACCTGGAAGATCCAGAATTTAGATTTTGCATAATCGCCAACAACGAAAACAGAGCAACTAATTGTGGCAAGACTATATTTGAATGCACCCCAAATCTGCATAATGTAAGAACAAATGAGCCAATTTCATGTAAAGGTAGGAACCTGAAGAAATATAAAAAACATTTTGCTACATTACAAATCTCAACGATTGTTTGTTGTTACCGGTATTATGAGAATGCAACAATTTTTAAGTTGTCTACAATATACATGTACTTAGTGAAATGAAATTTTATTTACTGTTTTAGAAAAAGAATATTGGTATAGGGTGACTATAGTTGACATCAGTAGTAAACAAGACGAGATCGAAGACATGGTAATTTAATTCTTTATTCATATTTCAAAATAGTACATGTATCTCTGTCATTCATATTTTGAACTTACGACATTTATGCTTTTGTTATTTAGAATACTATATACAACATTTTGACATTGGTCAAGGACATTCCCAAGGAATACCTATTTGTGTTCACGGACAAAGATAGTTTACTCTCAAAGCATCAAACTAGTAATCTTCTCAGAACTATACATGTACCTGAAAATCACTTTCTGTTTGGTAGAAGAACTACTAATGTGCGCAATGCATGTCATAGGTTTCTACTCGATTGCATTGCTAAATTAGAAGAAAGTTTAACTTTGGTGACAGAAAAGGGTTCTTCGTACCTTTTTGACCGCCTGAAAATTTTAAAAGAGAGACTACACAACGGGGAAGAGAAGACTTGTCGCACTCTTTCAATGGAATGCATGGATTTACTTCGAAAGTATGTTTTTCATAAATATTTTGAAATATAAAATTTGCACACTTTTTGAAGTATTCTGATTGGTGTACATAGTTAATCGAATACCTACATACGAGTACTTTCTTTGTTTTTTCAAGTACTAGTAAGTGAAAGTTTTGATTTGTACACATTTCTACTTTTAGCGTTTGACTGGCCAATGACATAACGTGGAAAGTGGTTTTCACAGATTGCAAATATTTATTTTGTACTAATTCAATCGATACCTTTTAAATTTGTCTCGAAACTTATCTGGATGTCCGGGTTTTTCTTAAATAACAATTTTAAAACTATAAATTTAAAACCGAACCAGTTACCTTAAATGATTCCATTTAAATAAATGTTTTTTTTAATTTTGTCTTGTTACAAAATTTAATATAAATATAGTTACATGTACATAACATATATTGGTAAAGTTTGAATTATCAAAATAATGTAAATTTCCTCAATTTTCAGGGGGGCAAAAATTGGTGTGATTGGTCATGTTCTTAAGGATGGAGTTTTGACTTTGTATATAGAAAAGAAATGTAGCGAATCGAAGTCATTGATAAAGAATATCAGAGATAATTTCAATGGCAAGATGGAGGAGATTTTGATTGACAAAACATTCGCTACAAGCTATTCAAAAATTACGTCCGGTGAAGAAATCATATCTCCAAAAGGTAGTGGAACTCTAGGGATGTTTGGTCAATTGAATGGTTTTCCAGTGGCAGTAACGGGTGGACACGTAATAGAAGAAGGCCAGCTCGCGCAGTTTCATATTCATGGCGAATGCGTGAACTTTGGAGCATGCATTTGGCCTTTAGTAGCAGAATGCCAAACGCATATTCCAGATATTGCTGTCATAGAAATAGATAAAAATATAATGAATAAAATTTCCTATCGAATTGGAAATAATGTTACAATTCATACAAGAAAGCTTTTAGAATTGAAAAATCGGAAAGTTTTCAAATATGGTGCTACAACTAATTTAACGCATGGCTATGTAGAGGATATTGACAGCATGTCTTTATTTGAATCGACTGATGTAGCCCTGGTAGCACATGAAGATGACGATAAAAACTTTGCGAAAGAGGGAGATAGCGGTGCTATTGTGCTTACAAAATTCAACGACCAACATTTTGCAATTGGTGTTGTGTACGGTGGGGGTTTAAATCCACGGAATAGCCCCAAAACAGTATCGCCAAAAACATCTGTTATTGTAAGCCTTAATCATGCAATTCAACGTTTTAAGGAAGGATACGAAAATTGTCAAGTTCTAAGCCTAGACTCCTTGTAATCTGCAGTTAATTTTTGAGATGAAATATTGTGAGCCACTCCTATTTTTTCTTAACTTTTCCGGAGAGGGAAACTATGAAGTAAACGAGCAATAATCTACTGCAATAGTCATTTTAAAGCATCTGTAAACAGATCCTGTCGCTCTGTCACAAGTATCGTATGCCATAATTCGGTAAACCGACAAAGTCGTAGACAACAAGGGCACCGCAAAGCGGAGCATCCCCTTGCAAAAGAGCATATTTATAAATAATGGCGGCATTCGACATTGATCCCAATGCAAATTTCGTCACTTCGATGTTGTCAGTCCGTCCTCAGTTATGTTTAAGTTGTTAAATTCTGCACTGAACACAGTCTCAAAAATTCCAAAACAATACAAATATCTGAAGAGGGAACAGAACACGGATCCATGGGAAATCAAAGGTGGGATCAGGTGTCCAAGAAGAGCATCCTGTTGACAGTTAAAGGATTTCATCTATGAATTTATGTATTTAATATACTTGCTTCTAAATGGCACCTGATCCCGCATCTGATGTTTTTGGAGCTCCGTGTTTGCTAGGTTCCCATGTAATTTGTATAGACTTGAATACTGTTTTTAATATTCATATTCTATTCTGATAATCAATGTCAATGCATTATTCAAGTGATCCATCTTATCTACAAACATCGTGTTTGTTACGACTAGGACTTGCAATCGGGCATGTTATACACTATACTACGAAATGGAGGAGAGGTGGGTGTCGATAACTTCGGTTGTTGAGTTGTAATGATAAAATTTCCTACAAGATTTGTGATTTTTTTACCGTATCATTGATTCTTTTACATTGTCATCTTTCTAAATGTTATTCTTGTCATATTCAATGTCATATTCATATTTTGTCAGAAATTCATCCGCAACAACTACCATATTTTTCTTGTGTAAAATGAACTGTTTTGTAACAGAATTAATTGTAGATATGTGATGCAATTTTATTTTCAATTTATAATAAAATATGCGCACTTTCGAATAAATATATCTATTTCATTGTTCGTACATGTATGCATTAACTGACACGTTTGGCTGTGTAAAATATTACTTTCGATACGGTGTTGGTTACAGATGTAGATGACGTTCGATCCCTGCTCGGTCAACGCCAGCAAAAAAGTTCAATATCCTTTTCAAAGATATACATGGAAAAGTATATATTTTTCCTTATTAAGATTTTTTTCTATTAACTTACCTTTGATAACTATAAATGTCCAGGAAATTACATTGCAAAGCTCGTTTTTATTTATTTATGAATTTCTCTTTCTGAAATTGCATCCAATGCTCTGTCCTAAGATGAAAATTTCTCAATTTAATTATATGAAATTTTTCCTTTCATAAAATTATAAACACAATTGCACAATAAAATGCATAAAGTTCTTTTTCGATCGAACAAAATACTGAATAGATCATGATCAAACAAATTATCCCGCTTCAGACATTTGTAGATTACTGATTGGATAGAAGCTAATTACATGACGCTCGAAATTTTCCACATTACGTCGCCGTCAAGGAGTAATATGAAAATCGGGCATCAGTACATACATAATCATACATAGTGGTACAATATTGCACGAAAATGTACATATCGAAATAACTGAAAGCTTAACGATAAATTTAATCATCCATTCAATTACATGTACAACGTTATTTCTTCAAGTTGAAGTAATTCAGAAATTTCATTTTAAGAAGCCCATTGTTACGATTTAACAGTTACCGCCCAACAGCCACATGTGAAGATAGCTATCCAGGAAATACACAACTGTATTTTAAATAAATTACCTTAAAATGTATTGCACAAACTCATTGGCAAAAAACATTCATTATGTAAAATTGCCATATATAATGCTGACACAAGTAATCTGCAAAATGTTTTGAAGTAATTTTGTTCACTGAAAACATACTCTTCACAATAGTCACTTTCTTTTATTTACAATATAATTCTATCATGTGGTATCATTCATTAAAAATGCAGCATTTACCAATGTAATGATATAATATCATGAACATTTTATCATTTTTTTCTGAGGATGAGAGATATGTTATTCCATTAAAAACACACTGTCGTTTATTTCTCGATCCATTACAGAAGAGAACACATAAACAATATTAATTATGATTTTAATGAAGACGTTTTCGCTAAAAGTTACCAAATCATTTTTTGTTAGAAAATAGGATCCAAATAAGGTTGTTCTTCTTCAAATGATACTTGGCACCATATATTCCGAGTATGCGACTCAGAAATCTTAATTGGTATGATATAATGTCGCCAGCACATCTTTGAAAACTTTGACTCAGCAGGAACCTTGCGGTGCCAACTTATGACAAAATCGGCATTGTTCCTGCAAGATGAGTGTATGGAGATAACGAACAGTATTCAAAATCAAAGTCCACAAACAATACAATATAGGAGCAGAGCAAAAACGGACCTCAGAAACATCAAGCAACTGTTTTAACTGTCAGAAGCCCTATGGGAGTCGTAGATTGTGCAAATGATGCATGTTTTGACTACTCGATCAACGTAAATATGAAATCTGTCGAATAGTTTCGAAGTGTTTGCGAATACCACACGTATATCATAACCGGACAATGATCAATACAAAGCTCAACTATTGCCTTCTTCCGTAGGGTATTTGTTTTTGTAAATACATCTTACATATACCGGAAAAAAGACGTGACCCACATCTCTTCTGACTCCGAAGCGGCGAAAATCTACTCCTCGGGGGCCCCAGTTGCTGAAAACGACTCCTCCATATTTTTAGCGACTCCCCCGCGTTACCCGTTGTATAAGTTGATTTAGTTAAATGGAGAACAGGTGTGACGAAAATATAGTCATGTGTTGAAAATTGCCTTCCACATAAGGTAGTGTACCCTACCTGATAAAGAAGTATACATCAATTTAATTTAAATATAATATGAAATCACTTATTGAAAACAATTGTGAAAAGCTTTTTTTAAGATCATTTGTTATACCCCTACTAAACAGTCTCTATATAATTTCTAGATTTCAAAAGTCCAACAGTTCCCCGACTGTCGGCCCAGGACCTGCTAAAAAATACATGTCCGCTTACGTTAAATGGCGGTAAATTGAATTATTTATATTTAAAAAATAGAATAAACATGATTTTAATGGTCGTTGCATTTGTAAAATCAGCAAGGGGTCGCAAAGCGTAAAGGACAACCCCAAATTAAAACAAGCAGCAGCAAACAAAATGAAAGCATAATATCACAAGTACTTATAATAAGCATAATAATGGATGTTCGGGATATGCCGCGAACGATAAATAACCCTAGAATTATTGTTCCCCGCTTTCGCCAAAGCGAGGGGACATTAAATCTGCTGGATACCAATAATTTTGACTTTTTTACCTTGACCTTGGAGATTTCCATACTTTCATTAAAAACTTTAACCTTGGTCATAACCTTTGAATGGTTAGTGCTAGGGCTTTCATACTTCACATATGTAATCCTTGTGAGAAGACCTCTCATTGGATACCAAGAACTTTGACCCTTTGCCCTTGACCTTGGAATTAGGTCTACTTTTAAAAGCAAACCTTGACCATAACTTTCGAAGAGTTAGGGCTAGGGCTTTCATACTTCACATATTTAATCCTTGTGACAGGACCTTTTACTGGAAATCAAGAACTTTGGCCTTGGAGTTTGATCTAATTTTTAAAAAACTTTAACCTCTGCTACAACTTTTGAACGGTATATACCAGGAATTTTGTATTTCACAGATGTATTTTTTGTGGCAATACCTTTGATACCAACATTGACCTTTTGACCTTGACATTGGAGATTTCTGTACTAAAAAAATTTAACCTTGGCATTATTTTTAAATGGTAAGGGCTAGAGTTTTCATACTTTGCATATGTAATCATTGTGAAAAGACCTTTCATAAGATACTAAGAACTTTGACCGTTTGACCTTAACCTTGGAGTTTAACCTACTTTAAAAACTTTAACCTTGACCATAACTTTTGAAGGATTAAGGCTAAAGCTGTCCTATTTCACATATTTAATCATTGTGGCAGGATCTTTCATTGGATATCAAGAATGACCTTGACCTTGCAGTTTGACCTATTTTCCAAAATTTTAACCTTGACCATAACTTTTGAACGGTAAGGGCTAGGGTTTTCATCCTTCGCATTTGTAATACCGGTACTTGTGAGAAGACCTTTCTTAAGAAACCAACAACTTTGACTCTTTGACCTTTGAGTTTGACCTATATTTAAAAAATTATGCTTGGCCATAACTTTCGATCAGTTGGTGCTAATGATTTCGTATTTCACAATTGTATTTCTTGTGAGAAGACCCTACCTTGGGTAATAATATATTCAATTTGCTTTAAAAAAGTTTTAAATCTTAGTTATGTTGCCATACGGGGTCATCAGTTTTTCACAAACACATCTTGTTCCTTATATTGAGAAGAGATAGGGCTTTCATATTTGCCATGTACATTACCTGTGACAAGATATTTCAAAGCATGCTTAGCAGCTATGATTTCTGACGCCTTGATCCTGACATTTACGATAGACCCTATTTTTAAAAAAAAAATTAACTTCAGTGATAATTTCTAAATGACATATGATAGGGCGTTAAAATTCACATTTGACACAATATGTCACAAAAAATGACATCTCACCCACAAAGACACCGAAAGCAGGGGATCACAACTCTTTGAATATCCTTGTTTTTCATGTATTTTATATTGCCCAGCTATTGATATTTATTTTGCTTAAATTTCGATTAGGCACTTGAATGTAATGTCCTAATGTTCTTTCTAGGGGATTTTAATGCTTTTGTTCTGTCAGATCAAAGAAGCAGTTTCATATCAATGCTACTAAAATTAAATTTAAAAAGAATATTAATTGTCCAACCAATTCGGGTACATGTATAGATTTGATTATTACTAGCATTCCAGCTTTAAGGAATCACTGTTTAGATAGAAGAGTATGCCAGGGCAGCAACGATAGTTGGAAACGTTGGATAATTTGCATAACGGGCGGTGATTACAGACATTGATTCCTTATATTTCCATTTAATTGTGACCTGTCCCCGGGATTATGAAGCATCTTAAGCTTAAGTCAAAAAATGCCTTAGATGCTGAAATTTTTTAGAGGTCAAGCAGCCCAAAACGAAAATGCTTTCCGATTTTGTATCATCAGTTTGCTGTTACATGCAAATTATGAGTTTCCTATAACAAGTTTTAAAGATTTTATAGAAAATTGAAAATTTGACTTAAGTCTAAGTCTGTTTCATGATCCCGGGGCCAGGTTCCCCCTAACACCATATGGTGTTAAAGATGATGAAGTACTAGACTAGTTATAAATCATTAATATACCGGGTATGTAAACGTCGAATTCTAAACACTGCACAATCAATCAACAAGCCTCTGATAAAACTATTTTACATATCAGTTAACAATGGAACACGCCATATATTTGGAAAATTGCCCAGGTTACACCCGTTCAAAAAAAGAAATGCAGATGATGTCAATTAGTATAGACCAATATCAGTAAAAATTATTTTGGGAAACAGCTTGCACTCCCCACCAATGGATCGATTGTTTCCCCTTCCCCAAATTACCCCAGTCCACAACTATATAATGTTGTATATCAGAATTTACTTCAAAACACCATACTTCCAGAGAAGTCAAACATCAGATTTTGACGAAGACAAAATGTAAAAAAATTTCGTCATTAACTCATACCTAGATCTATCGACAGAATTAACAACAGCAAAGATTCAAGGCAAGTAAAGTGAAATCTTTTTCACATAGATTTTAGAGTTCATTTAACAACACAGTGACTTCGTAAAAAGTTCTTCTAATTAATGCAGCAAAAACAAAAGCAATCGCAGTGCACAAATAGGCAATTCTGTTATCTAAGTAAAAATAGTAGAAAGTGTGCAACCGTCTGTATTTCGAACGTTTTTAATATTTACTAAAAACAACATGGATATAATTTATTCAACTGTTCTCTCTTTAACAGAGAAATAAAATGAAGAAGTATATGGTTTCATTTGAATATGAACCAGCAGATCTGGATGAAATTAATCATATTTACCGCCGTTTACACAATATATCCACAAAGTTAATCAAACATGTCACAGGCCTGGAGGATCCAGAGTTTAGATTTTGCATAATCGCCAACGACGAAAACAGAGCAACTATTTGTGGCAAGACTATATTTGAATGCACCCCAAATGTGCATGAGCCAAATGAGCCAATTTCATGTAAAGGTAGGAACCTGAAGAAAAAAAATTTTTACTTCATTCCAAATCTTAACATTTGTTTGCTGTTATGAGAATGAAGCATTTTATGAGTTGTTGACAATACAAGTATAAATAGTGTAACGAAATTTTCTTTCCTGTTTTAGAAAAAGATAATGGGTTTAGGGTGACTATAATTGACATCAGAAGCAACCATGAAGAGATCGAAGACATAATAATTTATTTCATTATTCATTTGATCATACAAAAATAAATGTATGCAATGTCTGTCATTTATACTTAACTTACGAAATGCATGATTCTATAACAGATTACTGTACACAGCATTTCTGAAGTTCCCAAGGAATACCTATTTGCGTTCATGGACAAAAATAATTCACCCCCAAAGCAACAAACTAGTAATCTTCTCAGAACTATACCTGCAAATCATTTTCTGTCTGGTGGCAGAACTACTTATCTGCGCAGTGCCTGTCACAGGTTTCTGATAGATTGCATTGGTAACTTGGAACGAAGTTTAACCCTGATGACAGAAAAAGATTCTTCGTACCTTTTTGACCGCCTGGAAGTTTTAAAAGGGAGATTACACAAAGGGGAAGAAAAGACTTGTCGCACTCTTTCAGTGGCGTGCATGGATTTTGTTCGAAAGTATGTTTTTCATAAATATTTTGAAATGTATAATTTGCACACTTTTTGAAGTACATTGTATTCCGATTGGTGTGCATAGTTAATCGAATATACTAGTTTTTTTAGGTACATGTATTTGAAATTTTTGCTTTGTACAAGTTTCTATTTTAAGCATCGTCTCAAGCCACAGTCTGGGATTGTATATAGCTCTTTCCTATATCAGAATGAGAGAGAATTGTCATGGTATGCGACGATGTATTTTTAGCTACATCACGTTTGATTGATCATCATTGAACTAACGTGAACAGTAGTTTTCACAGAATGCAGTTATTTATTTTGTATTTATTCTATCGATATCTTAAGAAGGACAAGATAGGCTAAGACCCAAATTTGGTCCCTGATTTTGGGGGTCTTTCAGAATGATGCAACAGTTTACCCATAAACAACTGTTGTCATCCATGTCACAAAATGAGTATTGGTTTTGATAAAGATAAAGGTCACATAGAGGTAAAAAAATTTTTTTAAATTGATGCAAATTTTCATTGATTTCACAGCACATTTTGTTTCGGAAAACATAAAGCACAAGCTTGCCAACCTACCAAATTTATGTATTTTATAAACTAGTATCAGATGCAGTTTATGTGTAAAAATCTCAGATAGGCAAGCTTGTGTTCTATGTTTTACGAAGAGAAAAGTATTTCAAAGTACTGTAAATCACTTTTTATTCTCGAGAACTTTATTTTCGCGTAATTACGCGTAAAGACAATGCGTTCGCGAAAGTTAAATTTTCGCGTATAAAAGTATTCCTTATGATTATATAAATGAATAACAACCATTCGTGAAAATTAGGTCTCGCTTACAAAGAGTCAAGGACAATCTCGCGAAAATTTAGTGATCTACAGTACTCAGTATGATGAAATTTTACCAGAATTTAGGAAATTGGGGAAAATGTCCTACTTCTGCCTCCTGTAGTGGCTTCAATGTAAGCTTTGAATCCAGGTTAGTACTGGATTTTAAGCAAGAATCGTTTTGAGTTCTAAACTGCAAACTATCACCAATTTAACAGTGTTCTGATTTTTACATCAAATAAGGGGTCAGATTTAACTGTTACCCTACCTTGTCCTTTATCTCTGAACTTATCTGGATATCTTATTTATCTTAAATAAAAATTTAATTATAAATTTCAACCGAACAAGTAACCATAACTGATTCCATGTACTAGTAAATAAATGTTCCTTGAATTTTGTCTTTTTACAAATAAAAATGTGAATATAATTACATGTACATAACATACTAGTATTCTGGTAAAGTTTGAATTATGAAAATAATTTAAATTTCCTCAATTTTCAGAGGTGCAAAACTAGGTGTGACTGGCCATGTTCTTATGGATGGAGTTTTGACATTGTATATAGACAAGCAATGTAATGATTTGAAGTCATTGATCAAGAATATCAGAGATAATTTTAATGGTAAGATCGAGGAAATTTTTGTTGACAAAGGTTTCCCTAAAGGTTATTCAAATATTATGCCTGGTGGAGAAATAATTTCTCCAAAAGGCGGCGGAACCCTCGGAATGTTTGGTCATTTAGATGGTTCGCCAGTTGCAGTTACAGGTGGGCACGTTATTGAGAAGGGCCAGCTCGCCCAGGTTCATATCGACGACATACTTGCAAAGTTGGGAACATGCATTTGGCCAATTGTGACGCAATCCCAAACGAATATTCCAGATATTGCTGTCATTGAATTGGATGGAAATATGGTGGATAGAATTTCTTACCGTATTGGAAATGATGTTGCAATTTGTACAAGAAAGCTTTTAGAATTGAAAAATCGAGGAGTTTTCAAATATGTTGCCGCAACTCAGTTTACACGTGGCTTTATACAGGATATTGATAGTATGTCTTTATTTGACTCAACCGATGTAGCCCTGGTAGCACATAAAGATGACGATAAAAACTTTGCGGAAGAGGGAGATAGCGGTGCCATTGTGCTTACAAGAATCAAGGACCAACATTTCGCAATTGGTGTTGTGTATGGTGGAAAATTGGAATCTCGGGATAGCTCCCAGAGAGTATCGCCCAAAACAACTGTTATTGTTAGCCTTAATCATGCAATTCAACGTTTTAAGAAAGGATATGAAAACTTTCAAGTTTTAAACTTGGACTCCGTTTAATTTGAATATTTGTGACAAGAAATATACTGTTTTCAGATGACTGCAATCAATTATATATTTTTTATATATTTTATATTTTTATTTTGAGGGAACAGGTGGCCGTTTTATTGAAAATATGACACTTTAGTGATCATGGGATAGGGTTTAGGAATACTAAACTAAAAATTAAAGATTTCCGAAGACAATGGGATGAATTATAGTTTCATAAGGTGGTGGTTGAGTCATTATTTCTTGTTGTTCAATAGTATATACAGGTGTTGGTCTTCATTTTATGTGGTAGCTGATGACATAAGTACGGGCCTAGAAACCGTTACGAATCAGGCGAAATAGTAAAAATAGGCTAAATTTTCATATTTTTTTTTCAGATTGTCCCTGTGCTATCTGATCACTTTGGCTCATTTTGTAAGTTGTACATGTTTAATTATGAAAAAGCTTCAAATTCCTTAAAGGACTACTCCGCACTATTTTTACTTGTAGAGAGAATTTAACATTTTCAGTGCACATTTTTCAAGCAATTTAATATTAAGGGAAAACGTCAGCTTAACGCTTTGATTGTCAAAAAGACCTGTCCTCTGCTACCTCAGTTGAAAAATGTTGATATAAAAGGTAAGAAAACAAACAGGGATCAATCTAAAAGAAAAATCCACAAACAATACAAATATGTGAAGAGGGCTTATAACACGGCCCTTGGAATTCCAGAAGTGGGATCAGATGTCGAAATAAATTATGTCGATGGCGAAGAATTTCATGAATTTATAATATATTAAATATGCTTACTTCTGAATGGCACCTGATCCCGCCTCTGATGTTTGGAGCTCCGTGTTTGTTTTACTCCCAAACTGTCTTTGAGCTACAGGTAGCTGAAACTCGTAATCTCCATATACTTCATTTTAATTGTCAGTGTCAATTAAAACATTATTCAAGTGATCCAACTTAGCTGCAACCATAGTCTCTGTTACAACTACGAGTTATAATCGGTAATGGTAAACGCTATACTACTAAATGGAGGGAATGGAAAAAAGCAGAAGTGGATGTCGATAAATTCGTTGTTTTGATAGATTTTGTTACAAGTTTTGTGATTTTTTTATCACCTGATTTGTTTCTTTTACATGGCTATCTTTTCGAAATGTAATTCTTGTCATAAACATTTTCATACTTTCACAGAAAAATTCATTCGCAACCACGTTTTCTTATATAAAATAAACAGTTTTGTAAAAGTATTAATTATGTTCCCCAAACGGAGTTTGGGAACATATTGTTTTTACTCGGTTTCTTATTATTATTATTATGTTCCCCAAACGAAGTTGGGGAACATATTGTTTTTACTCTGTTTCTTATTATTATTATTATTATTATTATTATTATTATTATTTTTCTTCTTCCTGGGAAAATTTTGTCCACGAGTGATCTTGTAAACTACACATTGGACTAAGGTAAAATGTTTTTAGGGTCAGTAGACATGTTATGTAGATTTGCCCAACGAAGGTCATTTTGCGCGCACGTGCTTGCAAGAGCGCGCACGTGCAACACGTGAAATGACCAATATAATGTATATTGCCGTAACTTTTCTATTTTTTGATGAAATGTTTTGAAACTCATAATGTAAGGATATATTAGTAGTATAGACAAGATGGCATGGTCAAAATAGCAAGATCTCACGCGCATGCACGTGCGACTAGCTCTGATTGGCTGAAACTAAAGTCTCAATATCTTTCTTGTTTCTTGTCATAATCATTTGAAATTTTGAACATAGTCCTATATTATGAAGATCTAGAGCATGATATATAAAAAGTTTCATGAAAGCATGCGCATGCGCGCGTGCTGCAATCTGATTGGCTGAAACATTAAATGGCTATATCTCCGTTGTTTTTGGATGAAATGCTTTGAAATTTAAAACATAGTCATGCATTAAAATATCCTACAATATGTTATAGAAAAAATTTATGAAATCACGCGCATGCACGTTTGCTGCAATCTGATTGGCTGAAACTTTAAATGGCTATATCTCCTTTGTTTTTAGACGAAATGTTTGGAATTTTGAAATATAGTCATTCATTAAGATAACCTTTAATATGATAAAGATAAAAATTCATGAAATCACGTGCATGCATGTGTGCTGCAATCTGATTGGCTGAAACTTCAAATGGCTATAACTCCCTTGTTTTTGGATGAAATGTTTTGAAATTTAAAACATAGTCATGCATTAGGATATCCTACAATATGTTATAGAAAAAATTATGAAGTCACGCGCATGCACGTTTGCTGCAATCTGATTGGCTGAAACTTAAAATGGCTATATCTCCTTTGTTTTTAGACGAAATGTTTGGAATTTTGAAATATAGTCATTCATTAAGATAACCTTTAATATGATAAAGATAAAAATTCATGAAATCACGTGCATGCATGTGTGCTGCAATCTGATTGGCTGAAACTTCAAATGGCTATAACTCCCTTGTTTTTCAACCAAACAGGATGGGATTTAGAACATAGATAAATATAAGGGACTCCTACAAGAAGGTGTAGTCATCATGCACGTGCGTGCACGTGAAATGAGTTAAATTAGAAATACACTCGAGTGAGTGCAATTTTTAATACTTTTGGATTGAATGCTTTGATATTAAGTATATAAAAATATATAGATAGTGTAGACAAGATAAAAAACGCACATGAACACGCGTGCAATGCTTAAATTTAAATATATTTTGTATTCTTCTGGGAAGACCTTGATTAATTCTAAATTCCATAAAGTATTTCTTATTTAATAGATATTACAGGGAATATGGCACCAAAAGGGAGTTGGGGAGCATTTGGGGAACATCTGTAACGGTCCCCGTTAAAATTAGCACTAGTTTCTTCTTTGTTCTCCGGTACTTTTTTGTCCGCGAGTGTTCTCAGAAACTGTTCACCCAATTGAGCTAAAACCTTTTTAGGGTTAATAGGTGTGTAGTGTAGGTGTGCAACACGAAGGTTATTTTGCGCGCATACGCATGCACGTGCGTGCGCGTGAAATGAGTGAATTGACTGATATACTTAATATAGCTATTACATTTACATTTTTTGATGAAATGATTTGAAACTCATTATATAAAGATATATTAATACTGTAGATAATGTGACACTGTCAAATTAGCACGAACTCACGCGCATGCACGTGCGCTTCGCTCTGATTGGCTGAAACAAAAAGCTCAATATCTTTTCTGTTTTTTGACGAAATGCTATGAAATTTAAAACATAGGTATACTTTAGGATGTACTACAATATGATATATAACAATTGTCATGTAAGCACGCGCATGCACGTGCACTGCAATCTGATTGGCTTAAACTTTAAGTGGCTATAACTCCTTTGTTTTTCAACCAAACAGTATGGGATTTAGAACATAGACAGACATAATGGACTCCTACAAGGCGGTGAAGTCGTCATGCACATGCATGCACATGCGTGCACTTGTGCTTTGCTGTGATTGGCTGAAACAAAAATCGCAATATCTTTTTTAATTTTTGACGAAATGCTTTGAAATTTTACACATAGTCATGCATTAGGATGTCCTACAATATGATATATAACAGTTGTCGTGAAAACATGCGCATGCACGTGCGCTGCAATCTGATTGGCTTAAACTTTAAATGGCTATTACTCCCTTGTTTTTCAACCAAACAGGATGGGATTTAGAACATAGACAGTCATAATAGACTCCAACAAGATGGTATGGTCGTCATGCACGTGCGTGCACGTGTTCTTCACTCTGATTGGCTGAAACAAAAATCTCAATATCTTTTCCGTTCTTTGACGAAATGCTACGAAATTTAAAACATAAGCATACAATAGGATGTCCTACAATATGATATATAACAATTGTCATTAAATCACACGCATGCACGTGCGCTGAAATCTGATTGGCTTAAACTTTAAATGGTTATAACTCCCTTGGTTTTCAACGAAATAGGATGGTATTTAGAATATTGATAGACATAATGGACCCCTACAAGAAGGTATGGTCATCATGCACATGCTTGTAACGTGAAATGAGTAATTTAAAAATATGCTTGAATAAGTGTATTTTTTAATACTTCTGGATTTAATGCTTTGATATTAAGTCTATTTGAATATATATACATAGTGTAGAAAAGATGATATGATCATTACCCACATGCATTCACATGAGCTCGCATGTAATGCTAAAATTTAAATATATTTCATAGTCTTCTGGGAAAACATTGTTTAAGTCTAAATTGCACAAAGTATGTCTTATTTGATAGAGTTTAAGGAAATATGGCACCAAAAGGGAGTTGGGGAGCGTTTGGGGAACATCTGTAACGGTCCCCGTTACAATTAGCCCTAGTTGTAAATATGTGATGCAATTTATTTTTATGCTATGACTAAATATAAGCACTTGCAAAGAAATATATTGATTTCTCTTTTCTTTGTGCGTATATGCATCAACTGACACCATTGGATGTGTAAAATGTTGATTTCGATAGGATGCTGGGTACAGATGTAGAAGACGGTCGAACTCTGCTCTATCGACGCCACCAAATAATCCATTATCTTTCACAAAGATATACATGGAAAAGTATATTATTTATATTTTTCAATTTGTCACTACGAGGTCTGTTCGGAAAATATTGGGAAATTTTATATATTTTCTTTCTAATGAATGTCTTTCAGTGAAAAATTGCATAATATACGATTGACAAACATTAAGAATTCATAAAAGCAAAAAATATTTTACAAACATTAAATTCCTTCTCTTCAATGGTCTATAAATGTGTCAATGGTAGGGGTATCCGGTGCAGTCACGAAATCAGATACTGAAAATATGTAACACCAGCGTTCAAACTCCCGGTGGACCCATAATAGTTTAGTTTATGTATATAGTTTTTCATTTTTTTTCTTTACTTCATGTTGTGTAAGTTTTGTACGAATTCTGATCAGAAATACGGAGATCATTAAAAAAAATTAATCGCAGTAAAGAAATCTGATAATGACGAAAAACGTCAAGGCGGAGCAGCAAAAGTATGGAAAGCCGTAGGGTACAAAAGACCTAAAATTTTGCATAGTGATATGAAGAACTCTTTTCCCAGAATGACCAACCTGCTTAAAAAATAACAACGACAAAAATCAAGTTGAAGGATTTGTTATTTCAGTGTTATATTTTTTTCTTACCAATAATTCAACCAGAGTAAAATCAAAAACCCCGGACGACCATCAATTTTTGGCTAACTGAAATAATGAAGTTGACCCGTGTAGTATAAAACGGAACTGTGCATGATGCTAACGCATTCTGTATATCTATGACATAAAAATTTAACGCTGGTGTAGCAACAGCAAACATTTCAAATAATCGTTTAAGAAAAAAGACAGTTTGATCTATAACAAAGAAAGAAGAGTAAAGGCTTTCTGATCGTTGCACATGCAAAATTAACTCCGTCTGACGTGACGTTAAAATGACGTAGCGATGCTGCTCCAGGTCGATAGGCATATGCATGTTTTTGACTTCACCGGAACTCATCTAATTATTCTATAAATTAGAAATTTTGCATAATTGTTTAATTTGTTCTTTATGAAATGTTGACGATTTTTCGAATTTATCTCTGCCCTAAATATGGAGTTAAAGTAAATGTCTCAATAATTTCCGAACAGCCCTTGTATTTTGCCTAATAAAGATTTTTTTCCGTAACTTACCTTGGGTAAATATAAATGTCCAGGAAATTACATTGCATATGCATTTTATCGTATTTACAATGAACTTTAATTCCCGTGACTGAAATTGTATGCAATGCTCTGCACAAGAACGAAAATTTACCAAATTTTCTTAACATTGAATTTCTTAAGGAATGACTCTAATTTTTGGCCAAATTATAGAGTATAATATGGTTTGGGTCAGTTTACGCTTTATAATCCGCGAAGCGGATTATAAAAAAGCGTAAACTGACCCAAACCATATTATACTCGATAATTTGGCCAAGAATTAGAGTCATTCCTTATAATTTAATTTCAAAATAATCAAACAACTGGAGATGTAAAATTGTGTTGTTTTTATGAGTTCAAATTTACCGCGCAATAATACAACCGTAGTAACGGAAGTGATGGGAAGCGAGGGGAGGTAAAAACTGATACATAGATCTAGCAGCCATGATGCTTGTTTACATGAGGTAAGATCGAGTAACTGTTTGAAATTAAAGGTACATTCATTAAATCTGGAATTTTCCATGAATCCCAAGGACTGGAAATGAGGGGATTGATAGATCTATACAGTTGATTATGCTGGTTGTCAAGGGGGTGTGTTCCCATACCAAACCAGATTATACAAAATGTTATGACGTAGCGCACGGTGTTGGTGTCATTTTCGGTAACGTCAAAATGACGTTATTTTACGTGAAGTTCTAGAAAATAAATTTGACGTTACTTTTTTGCTTACATTTTTATGAAGAAAAAATAATCCAGTAATGCCGCCAATTATATAATGCAGTTCATTGAAAATTAAATGTAATTAAATTCTCTGCCCTTTTGCAAGCATTTTGCGGAATCTAGGAAATATAGGCATAATTTGCTTCAGTTAATAAAAAGCTTGGTAGGAATAATAAAACTTGTTCGACATCGCAATTTAAATTTACATGCTTTTTATTTTATGGATATAAATTCAAAACAATTCCATATCATATCAGTAGGCGCTAGAACCACTCCTTTATTTTCAGTAAATTATATGATTGTAGATATGTTGCTAATTTAACATTGAATTTTTTTTTCCGTTTCAAGTCCCTATTCCCATCCCATCTTTGCCATCACTTAGACCCTTACATACTGAGTACCTGTATCTAACAGTAGATCTAAATATTTCAAATAATTCAGTTTAAAAAAAGGAGAGGAATCGAATCTAAGAATTGACCCCTCCCTCACTTTAACTTGTCCATGAAAAGAATTTTTGATGAAGTGCCCGGTGTCTTAATTCGAACTCTGAATGGTACTATTGTACAGATTTTTGACTAGGATATATACTGATACAGTGTACTAGTATACAGTGTACATGTTTTGCTTTTATATATAAATACGACTTTCAAAACTTAAAATTATTCTTAAAATTAATCATTATTGGTATAGTTTTCTTTTATCCATATCAGGCTCATTAGCAATGAGTAAAATTTTGGAGAGAAAAAAATCTTCTTACGTTTTAGATTACATTTTATGCATTGAACGTAATAACGTACGCCAAAACGCCATATTTTTACGTCTGTGACATAACATGTTGACTTTTATTTTTTGATAGGATTTTGTCACCATTCCATTGAAATTGATTTGGAATATACCAATAACGTTTTGAAGAGATGCACATTTCATGAAAATCCTCTAATTTTCAATATGTCTATTTCTAATGACTACTCATACGATTTATGTCACAACATTTATACAATTATACTTATATTTATTACTTTTGGGCAATGTGTGACATTTATTGTTGACTTTGTAAAAATCCTCTAAAACAAATACTGCTTTATAGAATCAATTCATTTTCATATCTACGTAAAGTTTTGATTTTGCACATTTTGTAATAAATGTTGTTTTGCAGCAAATTAGAAAAAATCATTTTTAACATGAAAGTAATTCATGGAGTGAAGCATTTAAATGTGACGTTTTTGCCGTAAAATTCAATTGTGACATATAGCTCCATGTTGTACATATATGTGACATGGCAATTATTATCAAAATTTAAGATGCCGCAAGTTAAAATTCTGTCTAGAGATCTTTTCCTTAATAACATGGCAACATTTTGTAGAATTTAGAATAAATTTCAACATTAATTTTTCACCCAGCATTACAAAATTGGGGATTTTACGAATCTTAAAAACTTTGTGACATTGAACCTCCAAACTTTGTGACACACCATCTTATTCCATATATTCAAAATTAATCGGCTTAATAGCAGAAAACCAACATACATATCCACACAAACGATCAGTCTAATTTAAAATATACTTCCTTGCACACAAAAAGGATCATTAAGATGCAATTTCAAAATTGATTAAGCTCATGAAATTATTTTTTGAAGTACCCGAAGACTTTCTATGTGTATCCCATATTTCGTCGATTTACGCGCGTCTACACCTCTGTCTTGGATTTTGAGCGACGCGTTGAGAGCATACGGATAGAATGAAATCACAATAGTTAGAATTTACATCATTTACATCATATTTCGAATTTTTCTGCCAAATTTTATGTTTGTATTGTTTGTTTTATGGAAGTTATCAACATTTTGTTATTGCATGTGCGACGCTCCTGTTACCCGTCTACATGCGTTTTTTGACGTAATTGACTGATTAAACGAATTGATATATTGGATAAATGGAATTTTTTGTAAAATATTTTTGTTAAAATGTATTAAGTATACAATTACCGACCGAATGATATATAATTTTCATATGGTGAATTGTTTTAAAATTATGAAAATAGGGCAAATGCCGCCGCAGTAGTAATTTTTTTACCTTTTGACACCAACATCGTGCGCGACGTCTATGCGTTCCTTTTTGGAAATCAACCAATGAGAGGCAAGAATACAAGCAAAATTAAATTATATATAAATATATACACAATTCAACAATAAAATGCATATATTTTTTTTAAATCTATTTATTTTCGTTTACACAATACTGAATAGATCATGATAAAACAAAGTACATACATGTACATAATCATATTGTATAATAGTTAAACTCTGTACAGTGTTACAATATTGCATGTAAATGTACATATCGAAATAACTGAAAGCTCAACGATAAATTCTAATCATCCATTCAATTACAACGTTAAATCTTTATGGTGAAATAAGTCAGAAATTCAATTTTATGAAGTCCATTGTTACGATTTTGTAGTTACTGCCCAACTGCAGCATTTGAATATAGCTACCCAGGAAATATACAACTGTGTTATAAATAAATTACCTTAGAGTTTCGCAAAAACTCATTAGCGAAAACCGTTTATAAATTAAAATTGTCATATATAATGCTGATACAAGTAATATATATGCAAAATGCTTTAACGTAATTTTGTACTCTTGACTGAAAACATACTCTTCACAAACGTCACTTTCTTTTATTTACAATATCATTCTTTCGTGTTGTAATATATTGCACATTTTCTCGACTAGATTTGATGAGTTAAATACATTTTCTGTCAAAATATATCACAGATATTGAACGATGATACAAAGCATTCATTAAAATACAGCAGTTACCAATGTAATGATTTAATATCATGAACATTTTCTCATTTTTTCTAAGGATGAGAGATATGTTATTCCTCACATAAAACCATTGTCATTTATTTCTCGATCCATTACAGAAGAGAACACATAAACAACATTCATTACGATTTTCATGAAGAAATATTCGCTTACAGTCACCAAATCCTTTTGGTTAGAAAAATAGGAACCAAATTTGGTTGTATTTCTTTGACACTTAGCACCATATATTCCAAGTATGCGACTCAGAAATCTTGAATTTTTGGTATTGAAGTCGCCAGCACCACTTTTTCAACTTTGATCAGCAAAAATCCCCTTACGTCACAAATAACGTCATGATGCCGACGTTGACTGTACGTATTCCAGTGCCAACTCGTGACAAAATCGGTATTGTTCCTGCAATTCATTAATAAAAATAATAGCAAAACATCTGATGTGGATTTATTGTTCCCTTGATCTTGTATAATTGGTTGTGTATATATATATTTCTATATTTATATTTATAGTTTTTCTTTTTACCTCAATCAGGTTTTATCGTCCTTGACTTTGCATCAAGATAATATTATGTCTCAGATATTGGAAACAGATGACTAAAATTAGACTACTTTGGTCTAATATAAATAGAAAATTGTAACAAATCAGTTCTCTAACCTTGATCTTAGAGACTGACCTTTAAATATGACAAAAAGACATTGTAACAAACTAACACGATGTGAGCTCAAACCCTTCCATATTCTCAACTGGCTAAGATTCTAGCCATGGTATAAGGATACAAAGTGATCTTTGTACTGAGTAACATTGTATAATACAATTTATAAATAATACCATCTTTAAAATAAAGTTTGTTTGCATTAGCTCGCCAGACTCCCTGTAGAATTCCTTTGTCGGTAAGTAGGTTGGAAAAAAAATTCCAGAAACTTTCACCTTAATTGTTGACGGTATAAGAGGAATAGAAAGAAAAAGAATATTCTGTCATGGAATGTAAAAAAAGTTTTTTAGTCAGATCATTTATGTCAGTCAAAAATGATCTGACTAAAAAAGAATATTCCAATTGCATAAACTTATTGCGCATCTACAAGAATCCATCAAACACATTTCAAAAGATGACTGACTATAACTTAAAACGTAAGAGGAGTTACAAGAAGAAGATATTTTAAAATTGTTAAAGACAGTCAGACGGACGGACGGAGGAAAGGACAATGCAATAACAAAATCTGAACTTTCTTTAGTGCAGGTATAATGACTACCAAGTTGTATGAATGGTAAATGACAGATGAGAGATAAGCATTGCGAGAAATCGTTAGATTAATCTTTTAGTTGGGAAATAAATATTCAATAAGTATTGTCTTTACTACGACGGCGTATTCGTTTGAACGATTTAAGAAAACGTTTGTACGATTTAATAAATCGTTGGTACAATTTAATAAATCGTTTGTACAATTTAATAAGTCGTTTGTACGATTTAATAAATTGTTTGTACAATTTAGTAAATCGTTTGTACAATTTAATAAATCGTTTGTACAATTTGTTTGTTAAATCGTTTGTACAATTTATTAAATCGTTCATACGATTTATCAAAATAGTTTGTACGATTTTTATAAATCGTTTGAACAATTTAGGAAACCGTTTTTACGATTTAAGAAAACGTTTGTACGATTTAATAAATTGTACAAACGATTTAATAAATCGTTTGTACAATTTAATAAATCGTTTGTACAATTTAATAAGTCGTTTGTACGATTTAATAAATTGTTTGTACAATTTAGTAAATCGTTTGTACAATTTAATAAATCGTTTGTACAATTTAATAAATCGTTTGTACAATTTGTTTGTTAAATCGTTTGTACAATTTATTAAATCGTTCATACGATTTATCAAAATAGTTTGTACGATTTTTATAAATCGTTTGAACAATTTAGGAAACCGTTTTTACGATTTAAGAAAACGTTTGTACGATTTAAAAAATTGTTTGTACGATTTAATAAATTGTACAAACGATTTAACAAACAAATTGTACAAACGATTTATTAAATTGTACAAACGATTTATTAAATCGTACAAACGTTTTCTTAAATCGTTCAAACGATTTAAAAAAAATTTTCGACATTGTTAAAATGGCATGAATACGACGTCGTACTTTACAGTGCAACTCCAACATGTTTAGAATAATCTTTATTCATTATTATACACGCAATTATCAAAAGATAGTTCTAGTATAATTGCTATCCTAGATCGTGTGTCCGTCTGAATGTCAGTATATTTTTTCGTCAAAATGTAACATATAAATGGTTATATTCTGAAGATGTGCTATAAATTTTAACAGTTTTAATCTTCGTCCTAATGCTAACTGGGGTCAAAATACAACGTTTTTGTACAAAATATAGTTTCTCTTAAAAGTTTTGTAGCAGCTAATATCATCTTTCTTAATAACTGCTTTATGTAATTCTTTGTAAGTGAAAGCTTATTTTTTTTATATTTTTTACAATTGGGTACTAGGATTTAATAAAGTGCCACGCCACAGCATGATACGCCCGTCAAAAAATTACACAATTATCTTTAATAGTTTAGAGTGCAAGAAAATCATGTCAACCTTGATTCTAAGATTTCCATGATTTTTTTTTTAAAATATATTTCTTTATCCATCCCCTGTGCTGTAGGCATAATTATAACAAATATTACATAACTGATAGATTTCTATACTGTTTGTGTTAAGACTTTGTCAAATGCTGGCATCATAATAAACAATATCAAATTAGTCTTAACAACTTAATCTATGCCAAATTAACTTTGATAAGAAAGGCTGGCCATCAAATGACATATGTTATAAATTGACCAGCAGTTCTTCTGTCTAATCCCCAAAGGCACAAATAAGGCTGCTTGATCAGATAGCCTTCCTACATTGAACTCATTAATTAATCTTTGACTGGATGCTTGTCTACTCATTACTCCCTAAATATTAATGGATCTGCACTTTTTATCCTAAAACACTTTTAAAACATATAAAATACTTCTGAGGTATCATGATTTCTTTTTAGATTTAATACCAGACAGGTTTTATATTTAATTCATATGGACAAGTAGGAAATCTGATTCAACCCCACCCCATAAAATTAGTTTTTAATTAATTAATATTATATAATATCAGATTATTAGTTTATTATGCAATATCAAATAAGTTTTAATTACTTTTCATCAAATTCATTTTAAAACTTAGGCTAGCCAACAAGAGCTATTTTTAATCAGCTAGGCTGGCTGTCCATTTGCCCTATACCCAAGGGAACGAGATAACAACAATGCTCTACTAGTTACCTCCTCACACTAAACTCATTAATTTCTCTCTAATTTGACATGCAACTTTCTGCTATCAAAATTCTTCTTGACCAGTGCTTGATAATTATGCCCATGGGACAAACTGAATTCCTCTCATTAACACTGAAATTTGTTTAAGATTACAGTAAAGTATATGATGAAAAAAATAAGTTTTTACTTGATTTAATACTTTTTAATAAGGATACAACTCTATTTTTTACATTTTTAGGATTATGAAATTTAAAATTTAAAAAACTTAGTTTTTTAAAAAATTTCACTAAAATTAAAGGTCACAGTGACCTTGAAATAGGTCGCGACACACCTTCTTCCTAAGATGTATACTTTTGCCAAGTTTGATAGCTCTAGGTCTAATAGTTTTCTAGTTATGAGCCGGACAGGATTTTTCCATATTTGGCCATAGCATCTTTATTAAAGGTCAGAGCGACCTACTTTTTGTGCGCGACACACCGTCTACCCAAGAAGTATCAGTTGACAAAGTTTGATAATCCTAGGCCTAATAGTATTGAAGTTATGAGCCGGACACGAATGGACAGACGGACAGACGGACAGACGGACGGACGGACATGAAGCCTATAACATAATACGTCCCGTCTTAAGACGGGCGTATAAAAATGACTTTTATTTTATACAAATGGTGTGTCAAAACTCTTCGTATATTTTAAACGGTAGTCAAATCATTGGGGGCGCAATGTTCTGTAATTTCAGTTTTTTTCTCCCTAAGGGACAACTTGGCCATGGGATAAAAAAAGAACAGTTTTTTCTACTAAAACGATGTTCTCACATCTCCAATAACACTTCGCGAAGTACTCTAGTCAGGCGCGTAGCCAGCATCGAAATGAAGTGTACGCAGAAAATGGTCGGGGGTCTGGGGGCCGCCCTGAGGCCCCCAGTGGGTCCAGTGCGAAGCCCTGGTGGGGGGCCAGGGGGCGAAGCCCCCGGAAGCTTCTGGATTTTACGAAATTATTCAGTCATTTTCCTTTAAAAGAAATCACGCTACATCTCTTTTCTCAAACAAACACTTAGCTAAGTTATACTTCCATGGATACTTCAGGAGGAGAAGGATAATTTGATCAAATTAATTAACGAATATATTGGTATTGGAAAAAAGTTTCCAAGTGTGACAAGATAAAACAGAGAAGTAATTCAATAAGTTATCATTGGAGTTAAAGTATTTCAAAATATACTAGTAAACGGGGATATGGGTCTTTTGATAACCTTTATGTTCTGATAGCTTAAACAATGTGAGAGTACTTAAATTCTATAAATTGGTAACATCAGTAAAAGAAGATATGTATAGGTTACATCATAGAAGCCGAGTAGTATTGATTATATCGTTTTCATGGGGCGTGGAAATCGAGGGCGCGGAGCGCCCGAGATTTCCACGCCCCATGAAAACGATATAACCAATAGTACGAGGCATCTATGATGTAAGCAACTTGTCGCATGTCTGATGACGTAAATTTCACTGAGAGTGTCAAAATTAAAAAATGTAATCAGAGTCATAAACTTAAAATTCATTTCAAGCTAGTTCTCCAACATGTCGGACGTTCTTAGCAGCTTAGTGAATTTGTCTTTGACTTTTTAATTGAGTTTGAAGATTTTGACAATTTATTTTTGAGGTTAGCACTCGACAAATGTGAAATCACAGAAGCAATTATCAAGGAGTTTAACGATATAAAGTTTGGCAATTTTTCCGTAACTTTCAAAATTTCAAAATGGATTAATTTTCTGAACGACTGGGAACTTTCAACCGAGTTAAATACATGTGTTTTAATTTAGTTAAAGGCAAAGAAAAAGCATAACATGTTCATTTTTCTGTAGTTATGAACTTGTGAAATAAAATTAGTTTTTTTTTCTCATGACCTGATTTCTGCCTCCTGCAGTGATATATGAAGGGGCGTGGAAAGTATTATCGCATATGTGATATGGGATATATCACCACACAAAGATCAAAGAAAATCACCGCAGATATGCGACAATCATAAATGATCTATATTTTTATATATACTTTGTTCAGTAATTTGAATTTTGCCATTTTTTTTTTTTTTTGGTTTATCGATATCTATTCATTACTTCAACGGAATTTCTTGTATAGTTGTCCAAAACCCTTGTAACTTTTTCTTTAGATCAATGTCACTTAGATCGCTTTCCTTCATCAAATATATACGTGTATTTGTCCGGATAATCAGGATTACGCGGATTAACAGTTGAAAATTTTGGTGCAACAATATTTTCTTGCTGAAAGAATTTTGGATTTCATTTTATAAAAGACTGGATTTTAACAATATTCTGAACAAAATTTGAATAGAAACAATAAGACGTAAAATAATTTGAAAGACAGATATAGTGCCTCTTTTTCTCCGAATAAATCTCTTTCTTTTTTATTCTTTTTTCTTTTTTCTCTTCTTTTTTTTCTTTTTTTTTTTTTTGAAAATGATGTGTACGCACTTGCGTACTTGCGTATAGGCAGCTACGCGCCTGCTAGTCATCTTATGAAAAAAAATTGTGTCCGATGTGCAGTGTATTTAGAATTTTCATCGAGTATTCCAATTGTGAGCAGAAAAATTAAAATATCTTTTTTAACAAATAAAATCCTCCTTTTTATAGAGAATCCATGCTTCATCAAATTTTTTGGTCTCAGTGGATAGGCTTCAAAGGAAACTCTTATGTAGGAGTGTTTTTGTCTTAGGAAAGCACCTACCAGTAGTTGACTTCACAGACAAAAGACTGAGACTATTACACTTACCATGTTACAAATAAGTTGAGATCGATTAAGTCGCATCTGTTTGACAGATTGAAATACATCCACCTCTCTGTCGGTTTTGATCCGCTCCACAATACAACTGGCCGCCACAAACAGACCACTCTGGTCAACCCCATTCCTAATAATCCACATTTTACTCCAAAAATGAATACATGTATATCGTTTCTGAGAATAATTAATTTCCAGCAATAAACATTATGAACTTTACATTATCAAAAAAGAAAATTCTTAATCTATCTACATGTGCAATGTACACGATCGTTGAGCATTCTCTAAATGATTTACTGAAGAACAGGAAGAAAATCTTACATGCAATGGACAGTAACGGGAGTGTTTTTGAACTGTTTCTGCCACGTTTCCACGTTCTCTAGCAGGTCCAGTAGAGAAGCTTTGGTGTTAGGGACGGGGGAACCCTCGGGCCAGCGATGGAAGTGAAACTGACGGACCACACGTGGAACTTCCTGTGGCTGATAAAAAAGACCCGTATTGATATCAAAGAATATCGTTGATGATACTCTAAAATCCTTATTGGTAACTTCTTTGTTTAAATCTCTTTTCAGACATTTTTAAATAATGTTTAAATGCAATTATTAAAATATTTAAATGATACCAACTTTGAGAAAATTTTATTATAATAATTTTACGCAACATTTTTTCAATTTAATTCTATGTGTTGAAATATTTAATATTCATTTCTCAATGTGCTTTTAGAAAATCTTCATTTTAGGCCATATTCGGCATATATCCATTACTTTCACTTTATCGTCGTCGGTAATTTTAAATGTACTATGGAAGAGAAAAGTGCAGAATTTGCGATATGTGTGAATTTTGCATGTAGATATTACATTAAATATATAATTTTTATAATAACTTACATTTAGAGTATTTGTGATGGTGAAATCCCTCACACTAATACTTGGATCAGATTTGATTTCGGCTGTCGTTTCCACAATGAAAGGTCCAAACTTCTCACCACAGGTTTCTAATGTCCAATACTGTTGACACATCTACGAAAACATGCATTACATTTATTTAAGAAATAATGTATCATTTTTAAGCATCTATCTGGATATAAATATGGGTTGGTCACGAGATAAAATTCCATGAAGCCCGAAGAGTTTTATGATGAATTTAATCTAGTACCAACCCGTATTTATAGCCCGATAGATGTTTTAAAATACCTTATTACTTATATTTACATTTGTGACTTATACTTTTATATTTGCCTGATTGTGACTTTTAAACAAAATAAGTGACAATATCTTAAATATGTCATTAAAAAAGGCGCTTGACGTTTTTAACCTTTCTTTCATAAATAAAAGTATCCCATATATTACAATAATAATTTATTTGAGTAAAGGGGATATTTTTATCAATGAAAAGAAAGGTTAAAAACATCAAGCACCTGTGGTCCAAAATATATTTATAAATTGCCAAATTTGGATTATGATGTAAAAACTTCAAGTTACATGTTATGTTCGGTTCGCAGATAAGAGTGTCTTCAAATCGTTCTTCGTTATTGTCTTCATAATTTCAAAGACAGTAATGTTTCTCAAAATGAGTCATAAAGGGTGGAATTTGTTCGTGAAAATGAGTATATCTGGGCGATATATAGCCAAAGCGAGAATGCAATGCATCATGAAAAGACTGACCAATTGTGATTATAGAACGATAAGAAACAGGTAAAGTTATCTCTGTTGGACTTTTTATTTTGTACTACTAGCATACTAGTGGTACTTAGAGTGGCTTTACTTTCGTTGAGTATAAATTGATATAATTAATTCGTAATAAAATTCAAGAACTCGTTAACAACTTTTAGTATTTGTTAAAGGAATTCTTTTAAAAAATACATGTAATAAAAAGATTGAAATTCATTATCACAAATCGAAAAAAAATGTTTTTTCGCACTATAGTCGTTTTTTTTTTAAAAAAAAAAATGATAATTTGAAAATAAATTGTTTTCAAGAGACCTAGAAGTGCTACGTTTATGAAAAGTATGCAAGATCAAGTTTATTAAGTATTATTGAAAGACCAGGTCCTTTATGTTTAGTTAATTTTCCTTGGCAAAGAGTAGTGCTGTGAAGGGCAGACGATACGTTCTTAAACTAGAGGTACTGTGAGCAATGAGCTCACTAAATGATACCCCCCGCCCTCCATATGAATATAATGAGAGTGTCCATGTTTTGCTCTGGAAAATCAAAAATATATGTCAGATCAAAAAGTAAAATAGGAGGTGCACAATGGCAATATGTAATTAAGAATCTGTGAAAGTTTCATTAAATTTCCTTCAGTGGTATGAGAGGAGTTGCGGATAAGAGATGGGTACCCCAAAGCGTAACAGACAGACGGACGGACGGACAGAAATACCGATTACTATATACCCTCCCACTTTTCAAGCGGGGGGGGGGTATAATAATATATAAAATTTTCCAAGATTTTGTCAATAAAGCAATGCTACTTTAACAAGCTTAAGTTCATGAAAAATTGAGGTACCTTACCAGGCCTTTGTACAATATACGGTGACTAACAGATGATGAAGTTGCTTATATAATCCTTATGGAAATAATTTAAATTGCAAAAATTTAATAATTTTAACTTTGTAAATTGAAAAGACAATTAGAAACCAGTTTAGAAATCACAAGGTAATTAAAATTTTAAATATTTGTTTTTATATTACGAAGATCTACAAAACAGATATCCGAGGAACGTATCGTCTGACCTGAATAAATTGTGCTATGTTTGATATTCTTCATCTTTTTTCTTCGCTTCTATTCCAAGAAAAGAAGACAAAATACGGATATAAAAGAAGTGAATTGTGTTTGCGTTTTCTTCATCATGTGTTTGTTTTTGTCAGCTAAAGCAAATGCGCAATGCAATAAAGGAATTCTGCCAATTGTGAGTACAGAACAACAAGAGTCTATCGGAAACAGGTAAATTCATCATTTTATTTTGCAATAACACACTAATATATACTTAGATTGAATTAACTTTCGTTAGGGTTAGGGTAGATAGAGTTATTGTTCTTTCTTTATTGTTTGTATGTTTTCCTACGTTTTATGTTTATCACTTCGGACCTTTCCAAATCAAATTCTTAAATATATTATTACGAATAACAATCATTTTATTTAATGCATCATTCTTGACCTTTAGAATAATATTCATGATTTCAATAGAACGAGTTGTTAAATTTGTTTAAAAAAATTCAATTCGTATCTGAATGATAAATTCTAGAGTTCGTTTACATCCATTAAAATAATTTAAATTTGTTGCAACAATTTTTTGGATTCTTGAAACCGGTCTCGTTGAATGAATGATAGTCGTTATCACCAAATCAAAAATATGTGTAACAGAATTAAATTCGTTTAAGTAAATTGGGCAATTAATTTTATCAAATTCACGTTATTGAAAGGTCATCGAAGTGCTTCCGTATATTTTTAAGAAACGTGCACAAGATCATGTTTTAATTAGCATTTTAAAAAAAAAACCAATCACTTTATGTTTTGCAAGAATTGAAAAGTATTTTTCTTGGCAAAGAGGTTTACACCGTTCATAAAATTTGCTATGTTTGATATGCTTCATATTTTCGTTCTTCACTCCTTTTCTAAGAAAAGTAGACAAAACAAGGAATAAAAGTGAATTGTGTTTGCTTTTATTTTGTGTGTTTGTTTTCTTATTCATTGTGTTTCTTTCTTCAGTTGAACTTTTGAGGGAAGTATAAGATTTATCTGTGTTATTCTTCCTGCTCTGTTACTATATTTATCAATTCTTAGAGCCAAGACGTACTTCATCGCTCTCCTCAATTTCATTCAACATGACGATACAGTAAGAATTCTGATCGTAAATCATTCGCCAAAAATCCACGGCAGTGTTTGGCAAGGGCATCTGAGTTACAATGAAGGAATCCTTACGCCGATAACTCTGAAGAAGAAAAAAGAAGACAAAAATTCATAACATTGTTATCTTGATCAGAGAGATTCAGTACTGCTAGAATGAGGAAAAAAGTAACAGGTGCGCGTGACTTACGTTCAGAAAGACTGCATTAATGTAGTTATTATAATCTTCCACGGGTGTAACTAGGTAGGGGCGACATCTGTTGGCTAAGACACAACAAAAACATAGTTATATCACTGCATAAAAACAATTGCTCTTCCATGAAAAATAAATCAGAAACTTAAAATACTTATGCACTTCTGCAGCAGCAGCAGCAGCAATTATTTCGTGAAATACAATACCTGGCACAACGTTTTTGTCCCTATTTTTGAAAATATTTTCTGGTTTTAAGGCAGCAGATGTGTCTTCTTTCTCCATTGTAGATGATATCAGATTTAATACCTACAGAAAAACAGGATGCCCCAGTTTTTATCAAATTATAGACAAATACTTAAACAACGTTTCAGTTATTGCAACGTATAATTTCAAAAACCTTGATAAACATGGAGCAAACCAAAAAACAATTTCTAAGAAAAAGTGCCAGAAAGTTTTTGAACCTCGTATTGCTCCTCGAGTTTAGATTTGCCGATGCTTTGATCATATTCCAACATTTCTGACAAGGCCTCGGGGTAAGTGGACGTGGAGATTGTAGTATCCCCACATATTAAGGCTTCCAGCAAAACGTCATACACAAAGATGTATTGTTCCTGCAAAAAAAACCGAATCATTCGAGTTACGGTTGAGCGAGAGATAAACGCGTTTATCATCTAAATGTCAGAAAAAAACAAGTGATTGGAACTAAAGCAATTAGCATTTCCTCGATTATTAAATGGTGCTAATTTTGGGATTTTTTTTTTGTTTTGCAATCTTTCACCAACGGAGAGATCATAAGGGAAAACTGAATGTTTTATTTTTTCCCTAATTTTTTTTAACATTAACTGATAGCATGTTGGCAATTCCCATGCATTCTGCCAAATTCACGATATATCATATTCTGTTTGTTCCCCTAAGAATATAACGATATGAAATTCTCTCCTGTATAAAGGTTACTTTTCCAGAACTTAGAAACGGTTTCAAATCAAGTTATGAAATAATTGATTTGATATAAAAAGGTTTACGCATTGCAAATGGTTTGACATGGCTCAACACGATGAAATTGGTGACTAATAGTTTCGTATTTCAAAACCTTTTTCCTTCCGTGTTTACTACAGTTAAATTCATCTTCTTTTTAGGACCTGTATAAGCCTACCAGTGTTTGAACCATGTTGACTCGCTGTGTTCTCATCAACTGGACAAAATTGTGAACGTCTATGATTCCCTCGTGTTTGGCTTCCTCTAGGTTCACGTCCACAGCTATATAGGTTCCTGTCCTCCCCACCCCCGCACTGCAACACGGAAGTAAAATAGGTCAACACGGAAGTAAAATAGGTCAACACGGAAGTAAAATAGGTCAATGTGGAAGTAAAATAGGTCAACATGGAAGTACATGTAAAACAGGTCAACACGGAAGTAAAATAGGTCAACATGGAAGTACATTTAAAACAGATCAACACGAAAGTAACATAGGTCAATTTTATGCTTTGTCGTTATAAAATAGATGTATGCTTAATATTTCCTAAATTAAAAAAAATTTAACCTGCAGTGGACAATTGGCGGTCCATTATTTAATGGATCATAGGCGCGGATCTTTTGTCTCATCAGCAATAAGGAGTGTCCAAACCTCGGAACTCCGTGATCTGGCCAAGTGGTATAATGGAACTGTTTAATGGTTCGATTCTCACCATCCTTGTAAAGAAAGATTAGAACAAATGATATACTAGTACATTCGCCTCAGATTTTGAATCAGAAGGAGAGACATATTCCTTCTTCCAAGTAATATCAAACATCTTTAAAGCCACGGAGCATGAAAAACCCCAAACAACCAAAACCCTTTCTTTTCTTAACTAAAATTGACATATGAATGTACTTCCTTTAAGATAAATAGTAAGAGAGCAAAAAACGTATGTACTTACTTTTTGTATATGGAATGTTCTTATTGAGAAATCTGGTAGACTCTCGATTGAGACTTGCTTGACCTTAATGCCGGCGTACTCTTTTGTCTCCCCAGCATCTGGCCAATATTGCTCACATTTTTTCTGTAAAAAAAAATAATATACAAAGTTTTTATATCTATGAAATGAGGAAAAATCCTGGATGACAGAAAAATTTGAAGTTTTAGAATACAGAAAACAAGACACTACCTTTCCCGTTTCTGTTGGGTTGGTCAACATAATAACTGTTTTTGACTTCTCTTCCCAAACCATTCTCCAAATGTCGTTCATTGTAGATTTTGTTGGCCCTTAAAATAACGAGAAATTATGAGCAAATATCTAAAATAAGATTAAGCTTAAGAAACAAATAAAATAGGAGAGAACATCTTACCCTGTGCTGCAATGTAAGCTTTCGGTTTTTTATAACCCTGAAAATTGAATTTAGACAATTTCAATTTCGGAGTAATACGATTTTATAATAGGAAAGATTTTTCATACTAGAGTGTTTAAACGTAACTTTTTTTCCAATTACCTCGATAAAATTAGCATTTGTGTAATCGTCATGGATATCGCCATTTACAGGTTTCAGTATCACACGTGAATGGTCGTCTGAAATATAAGGTTGAACGAATTTGAACAGAGAGTTGAATGAATTTCAACTAATAGCTGAATCATAATGGTTTGGGATCAAAAAGACTGAATCAGATGTACTTTCAGGCAGAGATTCAAGCAAGATCTTAAAATAATTGTGTTCCGTTATAGCTTCCAGGGGTTAAATATATACCACGTACAAGCAATGATATTTCCATAACGATTTTTGTCTTTGTTTTCTGTTTTCTTGGCAATTTCACAGCTTGCCGTCAAACCAGCAGGAATCAGCTAAAAATAGAAACAGGAAACACTTCATAAGCTTATTTCCGTAGAATAGAGAGTGTTTGAATTTGCATAGGTCTCTTGTTGACTACTCACTCTGTATTCGCGTTTGAGGCCCTCTGCTTCGTTTATCTTGTTGGCCTTGACATAATCCCAGAGATCTTCGACCTTGACCGGAACAATCGTACAGAGACCTACATTGCCATAAACTGGTTCTGAGTCCCCGTCCGTACCGGAACTGGGCTCAATTAATGGTTCTATCTCTATATCGTCTGCAACATATGGAAAATTGATATTCAGATATGTTTCTGGCCATTTTTAAGTGTACATGTACAACGAAAAATAAAATCCAAGATGCAAGTACAAATGAATGAGAAAAGAATTAAATGTAGAGTTTATGTAGCAAATTAACCTATACATTCATTACTTTGTGTCAAGCAATCTATTCGATAGCTTTTTACATATATAAGACTTGGTGCATCATTCGCATACATTTTAAACTGAAATTAAAAGTAAACTATGGAAATATTTTTGTAAGAATTTTGAATTTAATTTTTAATATTAGTAGTACAATATGATTCTACTAGAAACAAAAATAAAGGCATTCCAATACGAATTAATAAATCATAAATAAATGCAATATACTTTTTTATTTCCTTAAAAAATAAACATAAATTTCAATATTTTCAAATGCTGTTCATAAAGCGTGCCACACAACATCGATCTCGGAAAGAACACAATGGGGATTTGTCCGTTAAAACTGATGAGATATCTCCATGCTTTGTGATCGCAGGCGACATTGCTTGCCACTACTCCCGTGCGATCCCATTTATTTCTCCCGTGCCCGCTACAAAACCACATGCAAAATAAACGGAAAATGTACACAGAAATGAACACCACGCATGCCTCTCATTTCTCAAACGTTTGTTCGCTTCTTTCTAGCAGATTTTCGTTTTTTGACCTTTTGAACTCGTAATGCTCTCTTTGTTACGAAATGACACGAAGGAAATGGTAAATATGAAAGCAATTATACACTCATCAAAAACATATTGGTGCAAATTTTCCCCATTTTTTATGTTTAGAGAGTAAACTAATAATTCTTCATGCTAAAAACAACATTTAGAAAAATATTTAATTGCACAAAAGGCTGACTGAAAGCAATTTAAACGAATAAAGTTTACAACCATGGTTGAAATTTAATCGGTCTTTTTTTTCTTAATTCACAGATGTTGAGTTTTTCTCCTAGATAATTACTTAATGTTCTACAATGGGTGCATATAGATCGGAAGTTCCTTCTAAGCTTATTTTATCTGCATGGAAGTAAAAGTTCACGCTCTGTTTGTATTTCCCATTGTAACGAAAGTTTTTTTTTTAATCAAGGTGTCTTTTATCAACATGCCCTAATTTCTCTGAATAAATAAATGAAAAAAAAAAACTTGAAAAAAACATGTTTGCGACGTTGACCTGGGCAAGGAAAAACAACACCCGTAAAAGTTAAATATACAACAACTAATTCCCTCACCTCATAACGATTTTTTATTTCAAAAATCAGCATGCATTGAAAAAGAAAAAGGAACATGAGGGGGGGCGTTTTGTTTCAATACAAGCATAATGGGAACTTCCAAAGGACGGAAACCATTTCTGGTATACTGTAATACACCTTCACAAAAATATATACTTACTTCTGTACCATTGTGCTAATTCTAAAATTCACAAACACTTTCTTACTTTTTTTTTGAAGTCCCAGTTTGTAGAATTAAATAAAAGAAGCCAATTTATGACAACATATAAAGTTTGTTTCTTACCAACGGGCGTAGACGGGGTGGAAGTGTCGGGTTCTGGAATGATGGTGGGACCAAAATTGGGCATCTCTGCTTTTTCTCTCTCGGATGCAATATGTCGTTTCCTAAATATTTTGTACATTAAATTACTTCAAAAACAAACGGATGTAACTGTTATATTTTTAGGGCTGTCGTTTCTTAAAGTTAAATTAAGTAATTCAATTTTACGACTACTTATACTTTTTCTTCAAAAGCCCAAAACAGAATGACAACAAAAATGGTAACTTTTAAATAACCCTTGTTTGTCAACTTTTGGTTAAAAATAGATTTTTCGAAATTCCTTTTAAAAATAAAAATTGAAAATAATGCATTAATTCTCAGATTAAAAGTTCTACCTCCACAAGAAGAGAAACAGAGCAAAGACGAGAATGAGTAAGATGAAAACGACGATGACTGCGACAATGACCGGGACATGGTTGTTCTCCGGAGCCGTTGTAACTCGCCGTGCTGCAAAACACAATTAAGGATCCCGGTCATTAGTATGCCCCGCATCACGAGAAAACAGGAGTTATAAATTGACTCAATTCTTATTCCCATTTTTCACCCTCTTTAAGACACTGTGTGCATTTCAAAAACAGTCATTTAATGGAAATGATAAAATACTGGGCTTGTTAACGCTCCCTATGGGGAAATAGGATCAGGCCATGCACACAGTTTAAGATGGCTAAAGTAATTGGTTATTTGTCAAAAATGGCAAAAGTTTTGTTTCAATTTTCTTGCTTTCAGAGGAAAATTCTGTAATAGTTCTAAGTTGGTGTAATGAGCAATAGCACAGAGAACGGGTTATACTCTAAGTTAAATTGCTGTAGACGAAATTGCTTTGGGTCTTGGGAATTTTAATGTTTTATGTCCAAGTATTTTGGAGGGGAAAACCAACAACTTACCCTCTTCACTTAAGGCAAGCGAGAATGACTTTTTCTCCATCTGAAATACAAAAAACAAGAATGAACAATCGAGTTTTCTTCATATTAGATGATTTTGAGACAACCATGCCAATAATAATGCCAACGCATATCGTCTTATCCTTGCAAATAAGAACTTAAAAGTCGGACAATTATCACTTTGCATTTCAAAAAGATTGATACGCTGCCGAATGCAATTTTTGTCATGACTTCTGTAATTACAAGAAAATTGCATTTGTACCGTTCGAAACATTCCCCGAACGATAATCAGATTTCATTTTATTGATACAACCTTTCAACTCGTGGCTAATACATCAGTCTTAACAATCAACATGTCTTTTTAATGATTTCTAGCAGACGCAAAAAAATCCATCAGGCGATTTATGTACCAGAACTAGTGACTTTTGCTTTCTGTTGCCAATACATATCCAAAAGAAAATGATGCAAGACAAATCTTACCCCGTCCAGTATGGTGTAGGCGCCATACCAAATGGAATATTCGCGACGAGGCTCCAACGGTGCATTATAATAGCCTTCATATGTGTTGTTGTCACCAACAATAAACAACTGGTAGGAATGATCACGTGGTAGTTGAGCAGCAATATAGGCTCTGATATCACGTTCTTTTGCACGTTTGAAATCCAATCTGACGTCACGTATTCCATCTGCAACGCCTCGTTTTGAAATTCTGTAGGATGATGCGGACGATGTTTCTTCTACTATGATTCGGTAAAAACTGTGATTTGAAAAAAAATATACATTTGTATGTAAGAATTTATTGAATTTTTTCAAAAGAAATTCATGTTACATTAATACATTTAGAGCAAATCAGACCTTATGTTTTCTTCATTAAGAGGCTGAAGGGATATAGTCATTGTGGTAGGCGTTCGTTCCAAAATAACAGGAGCAGGTGGTTGGATAGGATCTGTTGATAAATAAATTACGCATTAAAAATAAATTACAAGAATTAAACTTTGGTAGTCTAGAGGCTGCTGTCGGAGAGAAAGAATCCATGAAATGACAGAATGTACCTATGCTCTTGGTCCATACTGAGACTGATTTGGTAGGTCCGTATCCTTGGTTGGTAGCGGCGCTGATGCTACAATTATACACGGTCCCACTCCTTAATCCATTTATAGTAACACGGTTGGCGGTGCTCGGGACTATTTTCTCTTGGAGTTTAGAGTTCCCATATCCACAAGAAACCTTTAAAGAGTATAAGAGGCAATAACCTTGAATAATCTATTCTTAGCACACGGTAAAACAATATCTTTTATAAGGTTTTTGACCCTCAGAAACGTATGTAATTCATGAAAAGTTGATAAAACTCATTGATGAATGGTCGATTGCATAAACTTTTTAAACTCACCAAATAGGATTTGATTTTCCCATTACTAAGGGTTGGCTCTTTCCAAACAAGCGATATGGAATTATCAGTCCGAGATTCATTTTTGAAGGAAGTAACTTCAGAAGGAACTAGAATGGAAACCAGACATAATAGTAAATAATATTTGAAGATTTTATGACTGACATTTTACATTTGTGCATAAGAAAAAGCTAGCATTGAGGGAGAACATTCAACTGTTGCTTTTTTATTACCTCCTTCTGAAGTTGTCACGGAAAGAGTGGGCGTGGGGTCACCTTCACCGGCAGAATTAACGGCCATGACCTATAAAAGGTGAACTTTTTAAATGCAAATTTGGGCAGAATAAAAGACAGAGATGTACTCTATAAATCATACGAAATTTCTTTTTCATGCATAGCCTTAAAAATTGTCCCATTCCAAAAGAAAAAAAATTCCATTAAAAAAAAATCATAGCAATCATGTGGTATTTCCATTTTAAAATGAGGCAATTTTAATGAAATGCACCTGTATGTTGTATTGTGTGTTTGATTCCAGATCTTCAATCGTATATTCCATTTTACTGGAGATAGGGCGGACCTCTATTTTCGTATTCTGGGCCATTTCTTTCCAGAACCCCTTCCACAGGATAATCATATAGGCCTTTATTCCTTTGGAACTCCTCAATGGGGCCTCCCACGTGACTGTTATTGAGGCACTGCTTCGCCTCACTAACTTCAGGTTTCGGGGGGCAGCAGGTGCTATGTTAAAGAATGACATGGTCACTGACATTGTGAAAGATAAGCTGGGATAACGCGATACCCACAGGTGTGATTTTGTTATGATTTGTGGAATTATAAGTTTAGACGTCTATATTTTAGATAAAAGTGACATACATGAAATGCCTATGCGTTTTATTGTGTCTAGAGTGCGTTCTATATCTGTTTTCATGACGTGAACTTCAAGAAAAAAATCTGTTCCGTGTCTTTTTTATTTCAAAAATAGATAATAAAATTATTTAAAGAGTCTATAACTAAAATAATCTTTGATAATAAAATCCTAATGAGTTTATGATATTATTACAGTAAAAAATTGACAAATCATTAAGGGGCTAAAAAATGGAATTATTTAACATCAAAATTTGAGTCCGTTACTGTATTACACCTACATTAAAACGGTACATTTGAAATAAAACATAATTATTTAAAACAGTTTAAGATAATCGGTCCCTGGTTTAACCGTTTCTGAATTCCATTCTATTTATTTTGAATTACTTCCTTATAGTCAAATTTTGATACCTCTACACTTCAGTTGTGAAAGGAAAACTCGAATTTTTCAAATTTTCTTGAAGAAATTAAACATTTCCTTGCTAAATTGCTATTAGAATTTTAGCATTTACAACTGTATATTCAAAACTGTGTAGGTATGACAAATGAAAACCATAACGACCTACTTGTTTGTAAAGTAACTAAACACTTTTCTTCGGATTTCGGGCTATGCATCTCCTGACCGTTAGCAAAGCTCATTGTGACACAGTACGTCGTGGCAGGAATTAGGTCAGGTATGACAGCACTCTTGATATTTTTGAAATTTCCCGGTGTATCACCAGAAACCAAGATGGCGTTACGTTGTCCGTAGTCGGTAGATTTACTGTTTAGATGAATGAGGTAGGTACTGATATTGTTACAATTCCAGGTCTGCATTGGAGGATCCTTTGAATTAAATTGAAAAAAATATTATTATTATTATATAATTAAAAGTATGAATATTTTTTATATTCTTAATGTCTCTTAAGTGACTTTAAAATGACGTCTTACACAACAGGAATACCTTTACAACTGAATGTGTATGAAATGCTTTTTAATACTGAAGTAAAAAAAATATTCCATTTTCTCTTGTGTTTCTTTATAAAACGATATTTATTAACCAAGTTTTTTTGTCAATGATTATGGATTCTACATTTCGGTGGATAAAATTCTAATGTTCGACATATAAAATATGTAAGCAAATGTTGTTTGCATAAGATATAAGTAAACCCTCAAGAAAAGCTTAGACATAATCTTAACAATTTTTAAAAGAAATCTTCTTTCACATCTGTGAGACAGAAATGAAGAATAAATCAGTATAAAGATTGATATCACTTCTTTCAAGTTTTAATGAAAACATACCCTCCACATGACTATTAATTGTGTTTCCGGGAAGGAGGAATTGTACTCAAAGGTACTGGTGACCGATTCGATCAGCGGGGGCTCACTGGGAGCTACAACACAAAGAGACAGTAATAGCAGAATTATTTACCCCAGATAAATCTTCAAAAAAGTTATACAAACATTTCTACAGATATGATTGATAACTCAAAATTACTCATCCAAATTATCTAGCAGTAGAAAAGAAGATGTACCTCCACAAAGCGTTCTAAACCTCCTTGGCGGCCCAGGGGGTCCTTCGCCTCCCTCTCCGTCCCTGCGTGTTGAAACTCTCACCGCGTACTCCGTATTTGGTTCTAATTCGTCTATGGTAAAGTTGCACTCTTTGCCACAATTAAAGTGTGTCACTATACCAACTTTCTCCTCCCGGCCGGTGCCGAGTTTTTGGAGCCAGATGCTGTACCACATGATGGGCGGTTCCCCCACATCCCCGTTAGCCTTACTCCACGGGAGCCACGTTATGACGACTTCTCTTACCCCAGGGCCTTCTTTTGCAATTTTGGGGGGTTGGGACAAAACAGGTAATTCTGTGAGGTAAAATAGTTTTGTACATGAATATCCTATATGCTAGTTCGTAAATAAATGTAATTGATGGGAAAATGAAACAATAGCGAAACAATTATGCTTATAATGTTGCAATTTTGCACACAGCAAAGTTACTCCAAAAACAAAGAGTAGCAAATGCATTCAGCAATGATGTTAGGAGTTTCTTTATCAGTTTTAAGTAATCCTGAAATTGTTGGATCATACAACTAACTTTTGTAACGACATTATCTTAGCAAATTCAGATTAAGGTTATGACAGATGTATACCATTTTGTGTCTGAATTCGTATACTTATCGCAGTACCAGATCTAGAGAGAGACCTATTTAAAGTCTAATAAGATGGGAGAAGACGATAAGATACAGACTGTAAACATTGGCCTTGATGGTCCGAGTCTTGGTCCCCGCTTTCCCTGACACGGCACAGGTGACTGTCTCCTCCTCTTTAACGCTGTCCACCTTCCAGACGTTGAACCGGGTGTACAGATACGGGTTCAGCTCTTTGGATTGCAGACGTTCCACTTTTCGGTCGGATGAAATCCCTTCTAATCTGATTTCGTCTTTCCCCGGGGTGGGGTAGGCGGTGACAGTGCAGTTAAAAATAGCTGGCTGGCCGGGATTGACCTTGTCGTTGTTAAAGTAAAGGATTTCAGGGGGTGTAACTGTATGAAATCAGATTTTAAATTCAGAGATTTTCTGATAGTCTTAATGTAATAGATTTTCAAGGGGAATAATGGCATTAAAATTAGGGTTTGCATTCCGATTTTAATGATAATGAAATGAAAAACTTTTACATTAATAACTTTTGGGTGGAATTCATTTATTCCTTGTTTTGATGTTTTTCGAGCGAAGATGTAATCTTCCAATGAAATTTACATCAAGTAATAAAGCATTAAAGAGGAAATCCTACTACTGATTAGAGATTGATAATGAAATATGCAGGGTTTCAATTATTCTTCCGGAAAAATTGATAATGATGTCTGCATGAACAGTGGTTTGGAAACCCAAATCAAACTGTATATTTCCCCGTTGGAGGAAGTGCTTCAGAAATTTACAGACGAAGTTCAAACAATCTGTTGCTATGTCAATAACGCCGCTATCCTATCTGCGCACAACATTGATAGTTCGTCCTGAGCTCTTGCCAAGTATTTCAATTTTTTGTACAAAAAATAATTAAGAGAATTTGATAACGGGAAAAACTCGAAGGGGGTTACCTGCTTGGCAGAACCCATCCCCCTGGTGAAAGTAGCCCTCTTTGCATTCACATTTGTCTGTAGGTCCGGTGTAACGATTGCAGTGGAGTGGATTTTTGCAATAGCAGGTTTTGGTGCAATCCCAGCCATACTTGTTAGTTGGACATGCCGTAGCTATAAAAATATCAAATCACAGCCATTTGCTAATTAAAGCTTCAGCCAATTTGCACACATTAAAACTCTTCTTCTAAAGAACCATACCAGTTGCCGTGAATTTTGTTGTATTTCAAGCATGTTTCATTTAGATAATGATTAAAAATCTGTCTATTTGACAAATGATGTTACTTGTATTTTTAATATACCAAATAAGGCCAAAATAAAATTATAGTTTGTTTGGAATTGCCGCCCGCCTCATTAAAATACCCCCCGCTCAAAAAAATTTATTGGCAAAATATTGATAATATTTTTTTTATCGTTTTATCGTCTTACATTGTTTAGTACAAGTTAGTTCGTTCGTCGAAATAGCTTTTTAAAGTCGGGTTTGAGCTCACATTAATTTAAGAACTCGGGTCAATAAAACGCTTTCTTCATAGTATTTATGATATAGCGATTATAGGTGGCGATTTCACAAAATAAAAGCCGCCAAAATGTCACACCTTGTTCAAGATGTTGGAAACATTCAAGCGTTGTTTTGAAGAGCTGAACTTTTATGCATCTCTATAAAAATAAAGGTGAATAAAAAATTAAATGGAATGATACATCGATATCTTGAAAGAGCTATTGTAATAGACTGCACATTGAACTTGATAAGTTAAGTCCGTCATGTTGAAAAAAAAAGATCGTTCAGTTCCCACTTAAAAAATTACATGGATCAAAAACGTTTTATCCCAAATACTAAAGGAAAAATGTTATCTGTCAGTATGACAAGTCTTTGAAACGTAATGTTAAAACTGATGCTGCATGCATGGTGAAAACTCGAGAACGTATGAAGTACCCCCTCCCAGTTCTACACAAAACATCCCAACTATTCTTAAGAAATTTTTGTGGTTCAAACTGTTTGCAAGCGTTGTTTTAACAAAGGGGTAAATTTCAAAGAGAAATACTACGAAATAGTCTGATAAAAGTATTGTTTAAATAAGATTCTTTAAATAAACTAGAAGTTTGATGTTGAAATATAACTATTAATAAATGAACATAATCTTAACATCTAAACGAGATTAATATTTGAGTACCGTTCTGTGTATATCTTTTTTCTTCAAAATCGGACCAAATAATATTAATAAAATAAAAGAAAGAGGATAGTAAATGGAAATTACCACTGTTCATTGAAATTTTATTTTATATAATTTTGCTTCAATTTGTAAAAAAAAAGAAAATAAAATCCCTCCCTCCCTCCTGGGTTTGAAAACCCCCAGGCGGCAATTCCAAACAAAACATTTTTTTAAGGATGGCCTAATGATAAAACTCTGTAAATGCAAAAATGAAAAATCTACGAAAACTGACTGAACAACAGCATCTAATGGATCATGTTCTATTAGTTTTCTATTCAAAAGTAAAAAGTTATATCTGCAGCAGAAAAGCTACAAATCAACAAAAACAGAATTATCATTTTGCCACTTTTAATGCGATTCTTGCGTGCGGTGTGATAAATATGAGCGATATGATGTAATATTTGGATATAAACTTGCTAGATGAGCTTGCCATTTAATGCAATATTGATCTATCATTATTTATGATGTAATTTATTGCATTGATAGAGATTTCCAAACTGCTTGCATATCTTTGTGTGCATCTTCCACTTCCGTATCTGCCATTTGATTGGAAAAAATATATTCCTTTAAACCCAGAAGTTCGTTGTATTATTTTTTCTTTTAACAAGAAACCTTTGATGAAGACTTGTTTGTTGATGCTGTTAACCAATTTTAAGATCTATCAAATGATGGATATCTTTTCTCATTGTTTACTCACGGTGGTGGCCAAGTGATTCTTTATGCTACATTCGTGTTGGGGGGTCTTGACCATACAGTTTCTTTCTCAGATAATACATTTGACATTTGTTGGCAAACTCTGAACTATCTTTCAAAACAATATGCAAAAAATGAGTACAGTTTCCTTGCCAAGAGTCTTGCCCGATCACATTATGCAATAATAAAACAAATCACGATAAAATAACATCTCTGATAAATTTTCGCAAAAATAGATTTTCTATAACGGATAGACTTTACAGTTTCCCATAGAAACTATCCTCCACTTTTGAATATATCTGAGACTACGTGCTTAATTCGTTGCTTATGTAAGAGCGCTGTTGCTATAATCAGCATGTGGTTTTTGTATTTGAAATTTTCTCCTATCACATCATATTATTTCAGGAAGTTCAGTTTCTTGGGAAAATGGCTAATATTATTAGATTTGACAGATATTTCACTTCTAGACTGCAGGTTAAGTGATGATGAGGTTATGAAAATGTCCGAGGACTTACGAGTTTGACAGTTATAGCCTTCCCAGCCTTGTGCGCAGCCGCTGGAACAGATACCAAGGATACTGTCGCACGCTTCACTGATGTCTGCACAATGACACTCTTTTTCACAATTCGGTCCAAAGCGCCATGTTGGACAATCTGAAGAGAGAACAGACACATCTTTATCATGTTTATTGGTAATATATGGTCCTTGCCCATAGTACAATTAAGCATTTCATTATATATAAAGGATTTAATTAAGAACAAGAATATTGTAGATAATACATGTACACATGGGCATATATTCCATTATGCATAAAAAGAGAAAAGGAAATGAGAACAATTTATTATTAATGTACTTTTGCAGAAAGGTTCAGCATTTAGACGATAAAATATTTAATAATGTGCAATATCTCATTGAGAAGGGGTGAATAACTAATTGAAATATGGATCCATGTGTTAGGATTATTGTGGAACCTTCCCTAAAAAGCTATCAAGTACGACGTTAAAAACTAGATGGGAAGATACATCACATAGGAAAAATATGTTCGTTTAATTCTGGGATCATAAAATAACACTATTAAATGCCAGCTATTTCTTTTTCTGAGATAGAAGGATTTTTTATGTCAGACATAAAGAAATGGTTACAGACACGCATCAAGCTTTGTTCTGATGCTGGATATTTAAACTGCTGAAAGATGCCTCGTGACACGCAAGTGCCATCTCCATGTGTCTGCGGTTTTTTTGTTTTTTTTTTTTGCCTTGATATTTTTCTTATTCTTTTATCATTATGTACATAATCTAGATTTCTGAGGAGATGATTTTAATTATACAAAAATAAGAATAAAGAAAAATTTCCCTGAAGATTCTTATTAGACATTCAGAATTCGAACGGAGATTGAAAAAAAAAAACAACGCTGGTTGTGGCTTCTATAAGTTATAATATTTTTTTTACATTTATGCATCGTACATGCAAACTATATTTTCATTTAATTGTATCAACATTTTTATGAGATTGACCATGTAGTTTACCAAAACAATAGCAATACATTATGTAAATGTAGAACTAGAGTATAACAACGTTTAACCCAACAGCAAATTGCAATAAAGTCAGTGCTGTCATGATTCTTTTTCGTAACTTTCTCTCTAGATTAAAATGCAAATTAAATTACATTGTCAATGATAAATAGGAAGTTAAAAGCCTTGATCAAATTAAATGCACTTTGTATCAACAATTTATAGTCCCCTGGGAAATGTACAATGTTTCGGTTTTCATTAAATGGCACGAAACAGGGAGAAAGTAACAAATTTCTAGCTAGCCTGCTTTTGTTAAAAGCACATATTTAAAATTCATAAAAGAACATACATTGTATTTTTTTAAAATTAACTCTAAAAAAATTCTTTTGTTGGTTTAATTCTTTATATGGTGGCATCTGTGTTTATTTAATATTCATTGGAATTTTTATGGAATCCTAACAGTTAAGATGAACCATTATAATTGTCTGGTAACATCTGCCTGTTGTTCATTTGGAACCGTGTTTGAGTTTGAAATTTCATTTCAATTACTTTTACGGTATTAAAAGCAAAATCAATCTCTTACGATGGCTTAATAATAACAGAATCACACTATTTTCGATGAAGTGTGTATTAATTTTCACTTTTGAGTTCATATAACACGACTTCTTGCCTTCATTGGCTTCGGAGTGTTAAATCGTCATCAATGTTTTTCAAGCTTAACATTGCCTACATTCAGTCAAAGATATAAATTAAACTACTAGTTGTTGATGCTGACATACAATAACTAACTATACTATTGTTTGTGTTGTCATACAATAATTTACATGTAATTACATTGCTATTGTATTCTTTTTGTAATATATTTTAATATATTATAAATGTTTATGTAAGGATAGCTTATTAAAGATAATGAATAAGTAACGTATCCTATTTTTTTCTAAAACTATAATTTGGTTTCTATGTTTTAACCTTAATGTAATAACTGTATTACATTGTTGTTGTTGACTACAGGATAACCATATTAAAAGAGATTCCTTTATTACATTGTTGTTGTTCATTAAATGATAACCATAATGAGATAACTTTATTACATTGTTGTTGTTGGATACTGGTTAACCATCACTAATTAACAATTTTCAATTGTCAATTAGTCATGTACTCATTGACAATTGAAAATTGTTAATTAGTGAAAGACAATGTGATAATTTTATTACATTGTTATTGTTGGATACTGGTTAACCATAATGTGATAACTTGACTACATTGTTGTTGTTGGATACTGGTGAATCTAAATATGATAACTTTATTACATTGTTTTTGGACACTGGTTAACCATAATGAGATAACTTTATTAAAATTTTGTTGTTGGATACTGGTTAACCATAATGTGATAATTTTATTACATTTTTGTCGTTGGATACAGGATAAGCATAATGTGATAATTTTATTACCCTTTTGTTGTTTCAATACAGGATAACCATAATGTGATAACATTATTACATTGTTGCTGTTGGATCCTGGTTAACCATAATGTGATAATTTTATTACATTTTTGTTGTTGGATACTGGTTAACCATAATGTGATAATTTCATCACATTGTTATTGTTGGATACTGGTTAACCATAATGTGATAACTTGACTACATTGTTGTTGTTGGATACTGGTGAATCTAAATATGATAACTTTATTGCATTGTTGTTTTTGGATATAGATAAACCTGAGTATATTGACTTTATCTAATTGTTGTTGTTCAATACTTCTTATTCAAGCATGTAACTTTAATTGTTGTTTCTATTTTGTCCCTTACAACAAATGTGTGTGTTATCTCTGTAAACACTTACAACAGTTGTTTATTTTTTCTATTTTGTCACTTACTCTATAGTTGTTTTTGCTGTCATTTGTTTCTATGTTGTCACTTCCAACAGTTGTGTATGTTGTCTCTATATTTTCACTCACTACAGTTGTTTATGTTGTTGTTTCTGTGTCTTCACTTTTTACTAATGTGTATGTTGTTGTTCCTATCTTGTCACTTTATACACATGTGTATGTTGTTGTTTCTATGTTGTCATTTTCTACATCTGTTAATGTCATTGTTTCTTTGTTGTTACTTTACTATAATTGTTTATGATTTTGTTTTTATGTTGTCACTTTCTAAAGCTATTTTATTTGTTGTGTCTGTGTTGTCACTCAATAGAGTTGTTTCTGAGTTGTCACTCACTACACTTGTTTATAGTTGTTGTTTCTGTGTTGTCTCTCAACAGCTGTTATTTCTTTTTGTTTCTATTTTGTCACTTAATAGAATTGTTTGTGTTTTAATATCTCTGTTTAGTATGTTGTCTCTCACTATAGCTGTTTGTGATTTTGTTTCTGTGATGTCATTTGCTACAGGTATTTAATTTGTTGTTTATATATTGTCACTAACTACATTTGTGAATATTGTTGTTTGTATATTGTCACTTACTGCAGTTGTTTGTGCTGTTGTTTGCTTCTATGTTGTCCCTTGCAACAGTTGTGTATGTTGTCTCTATATTGTCACTTTCTACATCTGTTTATGTTGTTGTTTCTATCTTGTCACTTACTACACATGTGTTTGTTGTTGTTTCTATCTTGTCACTTAATATTACAAAAGTTTATTTAATTATTTCTTTGTTGTTACTAACTAGACTTATTTTGTTGTTGTTTCTTGGTTGTAACTTACTACAGTTGTTATGTTGTTGTTTCTATGTTGTGACTCTCTACAGTCGTTTATGTGATTGGTTTTTGTTGTTGTTGTTGTTGTAATTTACTACAGTTGTTTATCTTGTTGTTTCTTTGTTGTTACTTACTACAGTTGTTGATGTTGCAATGCTCCCATCGTTTGTCTTTGTCTGATGTGTAACACCAAGGTCTGGCGGCGTCTTTTGTTGTCCGGCAAAATTTGTCCGGAAGTCTGCGGTCCGGAAAGTCGTTTCCATTATACGAGTGTCTATGTGGGACTTGTGAATCCCAACGTTGACACGTAAACAGGCTGTCCGTTACCGACTTAGTCCCCATGTAACTCCGTGCCCGGCCATTGTAAAAGCAGTTGTTGTCTACAAGATTACAAGAATTTGCTATTATTTGCATATCAAAATTTCGATCTTCATGCCAGATGAATGATTTTTAAAAGGAACGGTTATTGATAATACTTTGCCACATATTTTTTACTTCTAATTCTCAATCACTGATTCTACATTAACTTTTAAATTATTTGCCTAAAGCATAAAAATTATTTTTTCTTTGTAATTTTCTTTACAAAAGAATTACATATGTATTTACCATGGTCATGACAGTGGTCTTTTCAATGTAATACGTGCATCACTCTTGTGCATTTTTAAAATATATATTTAAAAATCAATAATAAACTTAAGTTAATACACATCAAATGAATCCCTCATTTTATGCATATGACTGCCTTTGAAACTCGCCAAATCATGTATGCTGATTAGATTTTTATAAAAGAATCATGATAGTTTTCAGTTTAAGATATCACACATTCCTGACATTGTATCGCAAATCTATCTAAATAGTTTCATATTTTTGGTAGAGCATCTGGCATTCTTGATAATTTTAACTCTATTTTTTAAAAAGTAATTTCTATCAAAATTCGAAGTCATAACGAGAATAAAGACATATATTACCATTTTATCAATGTTATATTATGAAGTATCAAGCCCTATTCACAGTCCCTAAATAACAGGTCCTGCAGCTGCTTTTCCAAAAATACTTGTGTTTCTTTCAGGCTCTATTGACTATGGAAAAGTTTGGTGCTTATATAAGTTACAGAGGAAAGCGAAATTTGTTCGAACATGAAGAATGTCTTCCATTCCTACAGACTTTACTAATATTTTTTGTCAAGTGTATTCAATAAAACTAAAATGACTACTGAGAATAAAATCTTTCAGAAGGAACAGATTTGAATGAATTTTACAATGGCCTCACTTCATTGTTAAGATATTGGTACAAAACCATTTTGCATTTTGATAGTAACCCGATGAATAAAAAATGTATATTTTCACCTATGAAGAAATCATTTTAAGGTTAATTTTATTTGAAGCTAAAAAAAAATACTTTGTGTTTGCATAGAATTTTGGGAGGCTGAACAATATGTGTATTCTAATATTATATTGGCCGTGATCTGTATTTAGAATATTTTATTATTTTTTAATTATTTAATCTTATTTTACCTAATTGACAGCCCTGTCCCCAGAATCCATTGGCACACTCATCACGTGGGCATCTTCCAGTTTCCTTGTCACAGACTCGGTCTCTATAGCAACGACAGGTGAACAAACAGCGATACCCAAACGTTCCGTCTTTGCATTGTAATTGTAAGGCCTCTAAATCTACAAAATAAATGTGTATTTGTTTATATTAGCAAGTCAAGAATTGTCATTAAAAAATTAAGCACTTTCTAGAATTGTTCAAATTGATGATTGCTTGCCTATGGCCAAAATGTTTCGAGCTTAATGTACTATGCTTAATTTCTATGAAATGGGTATTTTAATTATTTATTGAGCACAGATAAAAATCTTGATCATATCAACTATTGATGTAAGTATTGACAGGATATTGTATATACATGTATAGCACATATCATTTTTCGCTGAATTGCAAAATTCAGTGTCTGTCGCATATTACCATGACTACTGTACCAATTGCACCAAGGGTGTTTCTTCAACATTTAATATTGACTTGTTTTGTTTCAAGGGACAAAAGCTGAATTTAAAAAATACAATAATTGTCTACTAAAACAACGCAAATCCAGTTAAATTATCTACCATATTTTTAAAAACTGTGCAAGAGAAAAAACGATTTGGAAAAAGAAAGATTTTCCACCTGTTCAACCGAAATTTCAATCAAGAGTCAAAAGCCAGGTGATTAAAACAAAACCCGTGGAGGAATTTTCTGAATCAGGTTCTTTGTTAGCGCATGGGTCTTCTGCCTTTTCTATTTATCTTGGAATTTTTCTTATCTATTTCATGAAGCCATTTCTCTTCGTGTTCGGTGCTCTATTTTAAGGACTCACGCTTCAATCTTGTCAACGAGCTGTAACGTCCTCCCTTACATATGTTTGGCGGGATTTTATCTTGGAGCTCTAAAGGCTGGTTTACACTATGCATCTTGACACATGCATCTTGGATGCATGTGTCAAGATTCACAGTGTAAAAGCCCCTTGTGTCAAATTAAATGGGTGTTGCATCTTGAACGATGGAATAGAACTTGTTCTATTCCGTGCTTCAAGATGCATGGAACTGACCAATGAAAAGAAAGGTCAGAGTTGATACTGAATCATGAGCCTTATTTTTTTCATATATTTTCAAAAATAGCTTCCCAAGATACACAAAAGCAGAAAATACTGATTAAAACTACAATTAGAAAAACTTATTTGATTATTATAATATAGCAGAGTTTTTGTTTTGGAATAAATATAAATTATATCTTCCAAGAACTATCATAAAAAGGAAATTAAGAATGATTTGTTCAGCTAAAATAAATCTGGAAATGAAATTTGAAGGTATTGTTATTTTTTTAAGCAGAGAAATTTCATCTTTACAAAGTATTCTAAAGATGCATGCATCAAGACACATAGTGTAAATAAGAAGATGCATGAGGCAAAATTGAAGCATGAGTTTAGATGCATGTGTCAAGATGCATAGTGTAAACCGGCCTTAATATCTGCATTTTACATATTTCAACTGTTAATTTCTGGCAATTTAATCATTGGCAAACTGCTTTTGCGGCATATTTCTGTTGCGTTATGGCTGAAATGAATTTAAATCGCGCAATACCATCACAATGATGCCACATAGAAGATTCGATGGGGGCCGCTGCGCTGGAATTGCTCTGTGCAATTAATAGTGCATCAAAGTACACGACTGTATGAAGTTTCAAAGAAACAGACTTAACACGAAAAATCACTAATTTATTTGAAAGAACCCAGCTCCTGTTACTCAATGGCGACTGAAGATTCTATTTTGTCCTACAACTTTGATTTTGGATATTTTTCACAAGCAACTAAAGAGCTGAAATTGCAATAATTTTCAAAGAAGAAGTTTTTATGCATGGGAGGAAGCAAAACAAAGGAAACATTACTTTACATTTTAGTTCTTTAATATTTCTTAACTCTTAAATTTCTATTTTATATAAATTAAATTTCATCTAAAAGTTTAATCATCTATGTGATTATTCTATATTCGAAACGATTTGATGGAGCTGCAAGTCTACATGTACATTCAATAAGTTGCCAAAATTATTTTGAAAAAGCAAAAAAACAAGTTCCCCGATGATTAAAAGAATATTAAAACATTTCAATTAATCAATTCACTTTTGTACAGAAGGTACACTTATTATATATCCAAAAGATAAAATCTCGAAAAGTACAATTGGCAAGGGATGCACAAAGTTCTTCTGGTACTCAAACCTACGTCTGTGGAGAAGAGCATGCTATATTTAACTGTCATGAACAAACATGAACCTTTTTGTTACTGTGTATCAAACAGAGAATAATCTCTGGCACTGCGCTTGCATAGGTTCAGTCATACATCAATGTATTTGTCCTTTCTGTCAATAACATATTCTTAATCCATACTTTCTGCCCTGCCTCATTTTGCTATTAACTAACGCCATTGGTCTTACACTATAGACTCGTCACGATACCGACATATTCCTGCAGGTTGGTCTCAACTATGGATACATTTTCTCTATCATCAGATATCATACACAATTTATACTTTTGCAAATGTTTCCTTTTTGAATTCAGGAATTAAGACATTTATGTTTTGATATCAAAATGTTAGCTGCTAACTACTAAAAAGATAAACTTTTTTCAAAAAGAAAAAATTATTGTCCATAAATCACGTTCATAAAATTCAAACAATCCCCCGTTTGAAATTATTGATGCTGTTTTGACTCCCGCTTAAATTACTCAGTAACTCATGGGCATATATGACATTCGTATTTGGAATGTATGAAAGTAACACTTGCGGGAAAATTCAGCGCAACCGTTTCATTTTCCGGATGCTCCCTAGACACGGCAAGATTTTATGATCATTAATGTGTTCAGGGAGTTTGGGTTTTTTTTAAATAGCTTATCTAAGTAAAAGTTCACCATAACCTTGTGTCTTAGTTCGTAGACAAAAATATATCGACCTTCAACCACTTTTACCGAAGTGCCATTTTCTTGGTAGAACGTACGCTAGGGAAATTATCCATTGTCTTGTCTCTTCGTATTGAAAAAAAAATGTTTATATACACCCAAACTGAAGTTACAAAAGGTTATTTAGTTTACTTTGAATACAGCATACTGAAAAGTGTAAAATTTATTTTTTTTCTTTGAGTTTGGATGAAGAGACTTAAATTACTGAGCATATTAAGGTTCCAATTTGTTTGCAGATCAAATGCAGATGCAATTACATTTCTTCTTCTGTGTTTTTCGTGATCTGACTAAAAGTCGTCTGAAGTTAATCGCTTCCATTAATTGGAACGTCAAAGATATTGGCTTTTTTCTGCGGCAAAGTGTCGCCACCTAAGGTTCGCAATTCATTTACAGGGAAAAAAAGACAATGTGACAACTTAAGAAAAAACCCAATGCGACCGTAAGGCCTGGCAGAAGCGCAATTAAAGCACGACATCTTGAATCAACACGTAAAGTCACAATTGAGCCCCTCAATCAAGCTGCCGCTACAGTATTATCAACTTAAGGATTTGGTTCTCCCAGGAGATTTCTGAACCAAACATGTGGCAGGGGACAGGGTTTGTTGTCAAACCGAATTTGTTTGTTTTATTGACATTAATTGCTTCTTCTGCATGGAAATGATAAATCTGAAGAGAGATTTTTTTTTATTTGATATCTTGCGTAATTTGAAACATAGCCCGTAATCATGCGGTCATTTATGTCGTTACTGATTCATAGCAGTCTTAATAGTTTCTATATTGTTTGATCAGTAAATGGTTTTCAATCAGATATTAACATCGAAATTCTGCTAAATTTTCTCAGCAGCTTTTTCCCCCAACTAGAAACGTCAGATATACCAGATTCTTCTCGCTGTATCGAAGCTAAACTAAACATTATTGATTTTTAAATTATAGCTTATCATTTTTACTGTGAGTGAAATTACAGTAATACAGCAAAAAATGATATGATTACTAGTGTAATGTCAATAAAGCATTGAAATGGTTGTAACTTCCGGCAAACTCTGGTGTTTTGAAAGGTCATATGTTGCACACTGAGTCATATAGGGTGAATTCAAACCCATACGATTTTTTTTCTCATAATTGAATATTTATTCCGACCAAGAGGTAACTTCTGAAACTCCAAACCAAGTAAAATATTTAGTTTCAGTGAACAAGTACCCGTTTCTCTGTAACAATAGAGCACTTGAATATGAAATTTGAACATCATGTATGTTTCATGTAAATCGATCCGACTCTTTTTGACAATGACCATGACAAAGCAACATTTACAAAGGTATCATACTACAGTGTGCGGTACATGTACACTGTGACCATATGGCCCAGCTTTAATGCAAATGGTAATAGGTACATTTTAAACGGAAAGAAATGTCAATTCCTCGGAAATGTATCTTGTTGTAAAATAATATCAAATTGCCTCAAACCAGCAAATTCAAAATTTACGATTTGAAATGAATTTTTTGTCGCTTTTTCAGTCTGTATGGTATAGATTATCAAAGGCTTTAGATTTTTTGTGGTAATGAAAACTCATCGAAAAAGTGCATGTAAATGAGACAACCATATTTATTTGCAACATGCTAATACGTTCAGTCTTTGAGGTATTCCCATCTCGGGATTATTTGGTCTGGGAACCAATTAATCAGAAAAACAAATCTATTAGGCATATTAACAAGAACCACCATTCCATCTTCACACACATTTATCGAATACATCTGAAATAACATGCATATAACATCTGGGGTTATAAGTAGCACGCATCGTAACGCCAAACCGTGTACTATAATTTAGCGTATAATGGACGAAAACGTCTCGTTGAATCAGTATTGACAACCACTGTTGCATATGTTGCATTTTGTGACTAAGCTTTTCTTTTCTTCTTTATGAAAAACATCGAGACAGATGTATTGCCTCCTATATCATAGCTGACGTCTACGAACTTCCAATATGATATTATCCCCAAAACCGGGGTCTGATGAAAAATTCATTTGTAACCATTTTTCCTTTTTTTTCTTGGTTGGTAATAATACCATATTTTCAACTGTTCCGCTGAGAGCTGGTGAGGTCATTTTTTAGAATTTATTTCCGCAGTTAATAGTACCTGTCTTTGTTATTCTGTATTTTCCATCACCAGGCCATCATGCAATATCATGAG